AAAAAAAAAGTTTAAATATTTATTTTAAATTACAGTGACTCAAAATTTTTATTTAAATATGTTTTTATTGATTTTATAAAGGGAGAGGCAGAGACTGCTTCCTGCACACCCCCTAATTGAGGATCTAGCCTGCAATCAGGGCATATGCCCTCACCAGGAATCAAACTTTTTCTTGCATGGGACAACATTCAACCAACTGAGCCACACCAGTCAGTGAGTGACTCCTTTTTATATTAACATATAACACATATTCATAAAAATACATTCCAAAAAGTTTAGTGAAGAGAGGAGCATTGTTTTATAGTTTTATAAATCTCTTTAATATTTGAGAAGACAGCTTAATTCTCATACCAGCTTCTGCATTCAACTTGTTGCATATGTTGTTTTGATCAAAGTATATGAAAAATCTGGCATTATACAGTTATGTAGTTGGAAAAGGAGGAATATTTAGTAACCTTTTCATATTATAACATTCTTTGATACTATACCAAAAATAGCCAAGTGGGTGAAGGTTTCTTCTCAAAAAAATTATTGCCAAAATTATGACATTGTTTTGCTGCGGTACCAAAAACTACCCAAAGCTCTAGTACCATTTTATTAAACAACTAGAGGCCTGGTGCACGAAATTCGTGCACAGGGGATGGGAGGTGTCCCTCAGCCCAGCCAGCACCCTCTCCAATCTGGGATCCCTCTCATAATCCAAGACTGCTGGCTCCCAACTGCTCGCATGCCTGCCTTCCTGATTGTCCCTAACCACTACTGCCTGCCAGCCTGATGACCCCCTAACTATTCGCATGCCAGCCTGATTGATGTCTAACTGCTCCCCGCCAGCCTGTTTGCCCCCAACTTCCCTCCTCTGCCGGCCTGGTCACCCCTAACAGCCCTCCCCTCCATGGTTGATTGCCCCCAACTTCCCTCTCCTGCTTGCCTGATTGTCCACAACTGCCCTCCCTTGCAGGCCATCTTGTGTCCACATGGGGGCAGGATCTTTGACCACATGGGGGCGGCCATCTTGTGTGTTGGATTGATGGTCAATCTGCATATTACTCTTTTATTAGATAGGATAGAGGCCTGGTGCATGGGTGGGGATTGGCTGGTTTGCCCTGAAGGGTGTCCCAGATCAGGGTGGGGGTTCTCTTGGGGCATGGGGCAGCCTGGGTGAGGGGCCTCTGGTGGTTTGCAGGCTGGCCATGACCCCTGACGACCCAAGCGAAGGCCCTGGTATGTGGGGTTTATTTATCTTCTACAATTGAAACTTTGTAGCCTGGAGTGGAGCCAAACCTACTGCTCACTGTGTGGTGGCAGCCATTTCTGTTGGAATTTATGTATCTTCTATAATTGACACTTTATAGCCTTAAGCAGAGGCCTAGGCTGGCCAGGGTGTACGGAAAGCTTGGCTTCCTCCATTGCCAGGGCAACCCTGGGCTCTGCTCTTCCAGCTCCATGGCTGCCACCATTTCTGTTGGAATTTATTTACTTTCAATAATTGAAACTTTGTACCCTTGAGTGGAGGCCTGGGCCCACCAGTGTGTGTGGAAAGCTTGGCTTCCTCCATTGCCAGGAAAACCCAAGCCTCCCTCCTCCTCGCTCTGTGGCTACAGGCATCTTGGTTGGGGTTAATTTGCATACTCTCTCTGATTGGCTGGTGGGCATAGCCGAATGATGGTTAATTTGCATATTGCTCTTTTATTAGATAGTATTTACTTATTACAGTTAACATACAATATTAGTTTTAGGTATACAGCATAGTGGTTAGATACTAAGGTTGATACCCTGGTAAGTCCACTACCCACTTAATGCCATACATAGTTATTGTAATACTAGAGGCAGTTCGTGCAAAAGCAGGTCTTCTTTCCCCCACCTGCCAGCACTGGCTTCCCTCCAGCACCTGGGACCTGGGCTTCCCTCCTCCAGCTGCTGACAGGTACCCAGTACTGGGGCTGCTTCCCTCCCCCGGCCACCTGCAGGCACCTGGAATCTGGGCTGGCATCCCTCCAGCCCCAGTTTTGTCAGGAAGGATGTCTGGAAGACGTCCAGTCTAATTAGCATATTTCCCCTTTATTATTATTGACTATATTTTTATGCTGTACTTTATATCCTTATGATTTTTTCATAACTGCCAATTTGTACTTATTAACCTATTCACCTTTTTCACTCAGTTCCCCAGCCTGCCTCTCATCTGGCAAGCATTAATTTATTTTCTATACCTGTGAGTTTGTTTGGTCTTTTAGGTTCTATATGTTAGTGAAATCTTATCATATTTATCACTTTCTATCTGGTTTATTTCACAGCACAATGCCCTCCAGGTCCATCCATGTTGTCACAAATGGTAAGATTTCACTCTTTTCATTCCATTGTATATATATACACCACACCTTCTTTTCTTTCTCTTTTTTTAACGTTTTTATTGATTTCAGAGAGAAGGGAGCCTGCACCCCCGCGACATGTGCCCTGACTGGGAATTGAACCAGCAACCTACTGCCTGGTGCAGGGAACAGTGCTCAACCAACCAAGCCACACTGGCTGAGCAAGTACCACATCTTCTTTATCCAGTTGTCTATTGATGATCACTTATCTTCCATACCTTAGCTATTGTAAATAAGGCTGCATATATCTTTTTTAATTAGTGTTTTGATTTCTTTGGATAGAAATACCCAGGAGTGGGATTGCAGGGTCACATGATAATTATGATTTTTTTAGGAACCTCCATACTGCTTACCAATTTGCAATCCCACCAACAGTTCATGAGGGTTCCCTTTTCTTTCTCCACATCCTTCACAACACTTGTTTATTGCTTTATTGATGATAGCCATTCTGACAGGTGTAAGGTGACATCTCATTGTGGATTTAATTTGCATTTGTATTAGCCATCTGTTGTCCTCTTTGGAGAAGTGTCTATTCAGGTCCTCTGACCATTTTTTAATTGGATTTTTTGGGGTGGGGGTTGGTGTTGCGTTGTATAAGTTATTTATAAATTTTGGTTGTATTTTTATTTTATGGTTTCCTTTGCTGAGAGCAATGTCGGAGTTCTATGATTTCAGGCCTAACCAATGTTTTGAACTATGCATCTGATTGTCTCCGTTTTATTTTTCTGGATTTTTTTCCTGGCCTTTTATTTTGGAACATGTTCCTGTGTCTCATTTGGCATGACTCTTTACTTCTGCTTTAGGTAGACCTGCTATACCCCCAGGTCTTGGAAGAGTGGCCTTATGCAGTGGGTATCTGGTGGGGCCCAGTGGCACAGTCTTCCTGATCACCCACACTGTGCCCACCCTTCGCCCCCTGTGTGGGTTGTGTATACCCTCCTGTTGTGTGTTGAGCTTTGATTGCTGTTGACTCATCAGAGGATGGGATTAACCCTCAGGCTGATTGACTGTGAGGGCTGGCCATGATTCCCTCGGAGGAGATGCTGTGCAGGTGCTGACCCTGTGGAGTGGAAGTTGCTTTAGGGGGTTCCAGTGCCAGCCAAGTCTGCTCTCTGCATCTGTGGTCTGTGGAGCTGGTTGGGGAGGGGTACTCTGGTCTGGTCTGAAGCTTCCGTAGAGGGGTTCCATGCAGAGCAAGGTCAGCCCTCACCTGTGCCCGTCTCGAGGCTGTCTGGTAGGTGCTAGAGTTGGTAGCTGCTTGCGCTGCGCTTGGTGCCTGTTCTGTGAATCAAGGCTGGTTGCCACTAGTATCAGGCCTGGGACCATTTGGTGGGCACCATAATGTGAGCTGAGGCTACCTGCCATTTGTCCCAGCTTTGTGGCTACCCAATTGAGGCTACATGCCCAGCCAAGACTGGCCACTGCTTTTGCTGGGTGTGGGGCTACTTGATGCGACTTAAATGTAAGTTGAAACCACTTATGTCAGGCTTGGAGTATCTTGGCAAGAGGTACATGGTACACCAAGGCCAGCTGTTGCTGGTATTAGTGTTAGCCAGGTGAATGGAGAGCTCAGATTTGGCACCTGGGCTGGCTTGGTGGGTGTGGTTCAACAAAGAAACATTCCCTGCCTCCGCTTTCATTTCCAGCCCTGAAGCTTTAGTCCCCTATCCCTGACACTTGATGCTGCTGCCTCTGCACAGGGGCCTAGAGCAAGGGAGTCTGTATTTGGGCCCTTTAAGACCTGCAGCGTCTGGGTCTCCAGCAGCTCTCCATCTCACTCAGACACAACCCCCCTGGTTTTCAGCCAGTTGTTATGGGGACTCCCCTTCCCGTTATGAGAACAGAGGGCCGGGCAGAGCAGTGTGGGATTGGGATATGCTTGCTCCTCTGGGGAAGCCCTGCAGCCAAGATCTCTCTCCCTTCCCACCAGCCTCAAGGTGGATGCGTCTTTATATCCTTAGTTATGGGCCTCCTGTTCAGCTAGTCTTTAGGCGGTTTTATAATTTAAGTTGTGACAGCATTTGCCTGATCCACCATCTTGACGAAGTCCTCTGGCAACATGGTTTTTACAAAATTAGCAGGCTCCTCCCAGAGTCAGGAGGCATATTCCCTCTCTTTCCCACCCAAAGCATCCAGCCTGCTTCTGCCTCCAAGGCTCTCGGCTGCAGGCAAAGGCCAGACATGTAGGAACGTTTTCCTCAGTTCAGGATTGCCAGCCGATGTTCGTTCCTTTCACTGCCCTGCCCAGCTGAATTTGAGTATGTTTTAAACGGAGTTCATTATGAGTGTCTCCAGTAAGGTGGTGATTCTCTCCTCGTTTTTTTTTTGGTTTTTTTTTTTTATTTATTTTGATTTTTTACAAAGAGGAAGAGAGGGGGAGAGAGAGCTAGAAATGTCGATGAGAGAGAAACATCGACTAGCTGACTCTTGCACACCACCTACCAGGGATGTGCCTGCAACCAATGTACATGCCCTTGACCGGAATCGAACCTGGGACCTTTCAGTCCACAGACCAACGCTCTACCACTGAGCCAAACCGGTTTCGGCTCCTCCTCCTTTCTTTTCCCTACCTTTACCCATATAATTTTAACCCCCAAACTCAGGATAGTAAAGGAGCTTAAATATTAAGCAAACTCAGCTTGAAAGATGCGTTTTATTTTTTTATCATTTAAAAAATAATGCCCAAATATAAGTCAAATGCAAAAACATATAATACATCTATAATTAAAGAACCCTTTCCCAGGAAGGCAAAATTACTGAGAAATGTTTATTTTCCCTCTTGAAATGGCTTGTCCAGGTAATATATGGCTGCAGGTGGTAAATTCGCATCACTCTCTGTATTGCTTCCTTCCCTTAAGCCCACACCACTGCGCTGCCGGCCCTGGAAACAGAACACCTCGAGGCCTTACAGACCCAGGGCCCAGTGGACAGACAGGCTCTTGTCTTCCACGCTGGCCACCATGTCTTCGACCGCATTCCAGTCGAGCTTGCTGAGGATGCTGCCAGTGCTCTCAGAGGCACTGTCCATGCCACCCTCCCCAGCGGGGGACGCTGGCTCTTCAGTTGGTGACAGGTCTTGTAGAAGGGAACTGTGACTTCCGTGAAGAATCCTGCGGATGTCTGAGGGCACCAGCCAGGGACTCACCACAGTCTCCTCTCTCTCATCCTCTGCACATACCTGCTCCGTGTGAGGGCCAGGCCCAGCGCTCCGATACTGTTTTGAATGCCGTAGACAGGGAGCAGCAGAGCCTGACAAGGGAAAGGAACAAAGCGTACATTGGGACTAGCTCATTTATTGTGACTTTTATCCTCAAATCCATGGCAGTCACATTTTACCTACTATTTGAACCACAGGATTTGGATGTAGTTCGCTTTAGAGTTCTAACAATTCCTGTTCCTAGGGAGAAGGAACTTGAATTCTGACCACCTGTCTGAGTTTTAAAAGTAACCTCTAAGATGAGAGTATGGGGAGGAGGGGCCACAGAACAGAGCTGTGGAGGAGTGGCCTCTTAGGGAGGACTTGTGGATACTTCCCAAGAGTGATGTTAGGCATCTTCTTCACCCAGGCTTCACGCCTACAGTCTGCCTTGGGCACAGGCGTCAGGGTAAGTGCAGTGACCATAGTGTGGTCCTCTGCCCCCTACTGAACATAAGTACTTGTAGAAAAGAAATTCTCCAAGCCAGTGCCAGAGGCTAGGGAGCAAAGAGCTCTCTGCACTAGGCCTGTGGAGCTTGCCTCTAACACACTTATGTTCCACAGCCAGTGTTGACCTAAGGGACATCCACGACATGGGACCTGACCTGCTTACTTCCCAAAGAGGAGAAGAGGAGGTAACAGAGTGAAATTTGGCCTTTCACAGCTTTACCAACCTCATACACTTAAAGGTAAGGATACCTCCAAGAAATAAGGGCCCCAAAGCAATAATAGCAGCACCCATTTTGGATTTACAAAGGGACACTTAGTCCCTTGAACTTATGTGCATTTCCCTGGTCTCCTGTCTACCAGGTTTTATAGAACTGTGAAGAGGAACATGGGTGAGGGTGAGCTAGAGCAGTGGTTACCAACTGATGGTCCATGGACCACTGATGGTCCATAAGGTCCAAAAGGTTGGTGACTGCTGGACTAGAAGGAGACATTAGGAATTCCTGTGTAATAAAAGCCTAATATGCTAAGTGTCTGGCCTTTCAACCAATCAAAGCATAATATATTAATGATATGCTAAGGCCACTCAACCGCTCACTATAATGTGAACTGACCACCAGGGGGAAAACACTCAGATTGGTAAGTTAGCTTGCTGCTGGGGTCTGGCCGATTGGGACTGAGAGAGAAGGGCCAGACATGCCCTGGAGCCCTCCCACGGTCCTTCTTCAGCCCTAATTGTGCACCAGTGGGGTACCTCAGCCTGGCCTGTGTTCTCTCACAATCCTGGACCCCTTGGGGGATGTCAGAAGGCCAGTTTCAGCCCCATCTCACAGGCCAGGCCAAGGGACCCCATTGTTGCATGAATTCATGCACCAGGTCTCTAGTTAAGATCATAATTTCCCCCTCTCTCATTGAGCACAGCTAACTTGAGCAAGTATCCAAAGATGGAGCAGAATTGGGCCTGCGTTCCATGACTATGGGACCCTAGCGCCTTGCTGAGCACTTGTCATGCTGAACACTGTGGTGACCCCTTGGCATACACTCGTACAGTTATAATCCACATTTTGCAGGTAAGAAAATGGAAGTTCACATGAATGTACTGGAACTTCCCCGGGCTAAAGAGTAAGTAATGACCTGGGATTCCAAATTAACTCCACAGTCTTTTCTCTGAATCAATAAGCCCCACTTTTCATTCTGAAACCTGTATTTGAAATTTCTAAGAATGATTTACAGTTTTTATAGATTTAATATCAACTTCAAGAACTTCTTACCTATTCGGAAGGTGACTGGAGAGTGCACAGCCTTCCTCCGTGCCCCTCTGGCTCCACCGGCTTTTTTCTGGGTAAAAGTGACAGTTCCTGCAAAGACAGGCAGGCGCCTTCACCTGGTGCGTGTGCGTGATTATTCACGTACTCTACTAAGGCCTTCGAGAGCAGACGCCTCTGAGGGTGGATTTTATTTAAACCAAGAAAGCAGAGCAAAAGTGCAGATGAAGGCAGGCAGACTCTGGGTTGTGGTTTCCTTACAGCACAGCCATGGTCAGACACTAAGTCTACGAGCTGGGAACTCCCAACAGATGCCAAGGTAAACTGTATCAAGAAAATGACTAACCATGGTTTCTTAAATTTCAAAGTTAATAGCAACTATTTAATGTTTGTTATGCAAAATGTTTTATCATTTTCAATAACTCTAGGAGGTATGTTTTAAATGACATCTGAGGGCACCAAGTAAGCTATACACATTTATACCCCCTGTTAGCTACAAGTATGTTTTACTTTAGTAATCAAAACTCAACTATGGAAAAACTAAAGGAAGGCAAACAATAAAGAACATCTTTAAACGTGGGAAAGGATGTTCAAAGAGTAAAAACATGAGCCTCTCAATATTCTTCTGTTTTATATCCAACCTGAAATCTTGAAATCTACCAGAACGTTTTTTTGTCAATTACAGTTGCCATTCAATTTTATATTAGTTTATATTAGTTTCAAATTTATATTATTTTATATTAGTTTCAGATCATGTGTATAATTTATGAAATAATCCCCCCCAATATCCACCTGACACCATACACAGTTATTACAATATTATTGACTATATTACTTTACATCCCAAATCAAGTTCTTTAGCCAAACACAGAAGAAACAGATTCCCAAGTCAATCATATCTAATTTACTGACCATTCAAAAAAAAGTCATTTGTTTTAAAAGATTCCTAGGGTTTTCTTATTCCCCAGTGCAATATTTTGCATTCTGCTGAAATGAGAATTGCTTTTCACTAAGACTTACAGCTGTTACTAATGAAAATGTATCTTTGGAGACAAGAAGCAGTAGGCCCAAATTATATAAGATAAAAAAAGCTCTGTCTTACCATGTGGACAAGGTGAGCTCTGAGGTTGCCCGAAAGATTTCCCTTTTGGGATATAACTTGGTTTGGATATATATCTGACTTTTCCAGGTCGATTTACTGGAAAGTTGTGACCATAGCAGGTCTCTCTAAAGAAGAAATATTATTATTATTATTATTATTATTATTATTATTATATTCATAGAATATCATATCAGTGATAAAACTGAATTTCAAAAAGCCCAGATTCTCCCTCAGATGAATACTCTCACTTATTCTGTACCTCAGTGACATATTCAGTGTATAATAACTCTCAACAAGTTATTCTTGATATCTCAAACTTCATGCATTTTTCAGAAAAACTATTTTTGTTCTCCATCTATTTCAAACTATGTATGTACTGCCCTCACGGGGTGACTCAGTTGGTTAGAGCCTCGTCCTGTACACCAAAAAGTAGCGGGTTCAATGCCCACTGGGGGGGGGGGGGGGCGTGCAGGATGCAACTCATGTTTCTCTCTCTCGCCCTCAAATCAATTTAAGAAATTATCTCTAGTTATTGTGTATTTAAAACCCTACTTTATTTTATAAAAGATTCCAAAGGCAGTGGTTGAGCATCAACCTATGAACCAGGAGGTCACTATTGGAATTCCAGTCTCCATCCTATGCAGAAAGCAGCCGATCAATGATTCTCTCTCATCGATGTTTTTCTCACTCCCTGTGTCCCTTCTTCTATGAAATCAATAAAAATATATTTTAAGAAAACAACAAAGAAAACAAAATCAATTAAAAATATATTTTAAAATATATATATATTTTTAAAAAAAAAAAAAAAAACCTATACTTGGGTACTTTTCTTTAGTATTCTCTGTTTAATTCCTGCCTAACAAACATATCCAAACCTACTGAAGGTCACTAACTTAGGAAGAAATATGTAATAGTATCTACAAGTGAATCAGCAACAATGGGACAGGCAGGAGGAGGTGGCAGAGGAGGAGTGGCGAGCTGGTGGGACTGTTTCTGCAAGAGTGGAGCCCAGTGGAGAGCAGTTAGCAGGCAAGTGACAGGAGGAAATATTAACAATGACAGGAAAGAAGAAAGGATTGAACGGACAACAAAACTGCATTAGGTAAGGTAAGATGCTTTGTTGTGTCTTAGAGATTTAATGCCACTGTCTTCTTCCGTGGTAATTGTATGCACTTATAAAGAAATCATAATTAGGAGCCATTTTTCTCTTCAGTTTATCATAATTCTGAGCAGGGTAGATGCAAAAGTGCTTCATTTCTTAGCACACCTGACACTATCTTGCCAAATGACATAAACCTTATCTTACCTTCTTGGCGAAAGGGAGCTTTGCAGCCTGGAAGACTGAGCAGTCCTGGGCTTGCTAGGCGATGGCTTCTGTGCTGGTAGCTGCACCGATTCAGACAGCAGTTCATTCATCAGACTGTATGCTTGTGAAATTCGACGACTGTAGTGGTCACAGAGTAGCAATCTTCAGAGAAAGAATTAAACAACATTTAATAAGTCACTTTCAGTTCATCTTTCTAGAAGGAACACTGTTTGAAGACCACCTAGCATGTGTTTTTTGCAATGCTTTTCAAATGCACTTCAAATTTAATATCGAAGTTCATATGTCTAAAGACCATTACGCAGTATTATTAAAGGTTTCTGTAGCTATGGCCTTTGAGATATTTTCAAAATGCATCCACATTTCTGAATTGGGAGAGAGAGAGGAATCCAGAAATAAAATTCACAAAAAGTGAATGGAAGAAATATTATTTGAAAACAAATTCCTAAGAAGGCTAGTGGAGTCTATTGCAGTCCATCCCACAATTGACAAAAAAGGAACTACTGTGGAAACCGGAATTCCTTAGGCATTTTCTATGCGTCAGGTGAGCAAGCCAGCGAGGGTGCTACCACTCACCTGTCTTTTTCATGCTTCATCTTTTGTCTCAGCCTGATTTCTCTTGAAGTCATGTAAAACTGTACAAGAAATATCCAGTTAGCTCATTATTGTACAGTACAAATAATTAAACCATTATGGTTCATGGAAAACATGAAAATTCCACTAATAAATTTTAACAGGAGGTTAAAACATAATTTTATCATTTAGGAAACAGTGCAAAATACTGTCATATTTGATGAAGCTTCTGACCCCAGCACAAAACATGAAAATGTTAAAGCATTATGTAATTAAATAAAGTCCAATTTTTTAAATTGATTTTTTACAGAGAGGAAGGGAGAGAGATAGAGAGTTAGAAACATCGATGAGAGAGAAACATCGATCAGCTGCCTCCTTCACACCCCCTACTGGGGATGTGCCCTAAACCAAGGTACATGCCCTTGACCGGAATCGAACCCGGGACCTTTCAGTCTGCAGACGGACGCTCTATCCACTGAGCCAAACCGGTTTCGGCCAAAATCCAATTTAATGAGTGGAATGCAAAATCTATTTTAGTAGCTAGATTAATATGTTTTCTGGAAAAGAGATCCTTATCAGCTGCATTTAAAAGGGAAAATAAGAACCTATTAAGGATGGAGACACCTCTACTTTGTTCTCAGTCTGGTGATTAATCTCACCAATAGCTTGGTTAATAAAGCAGAAATGAGCCAAACTTGTGAAACCATCATTTTGATGTTTCAAAATGTTCACCAGAAACGTATTGCAGTGAATTCATTATAACTGTAAACTCTTCAAAACTAAGGCACCAAGAGGCAAACTAGCAAACGTCGCTATATACATCTTATTACAGAACATGGTCATGTTAAGCCGAAACCAGTTTGATTCAGTGGATAGAGCGTTGGCCTGCGGACTGAGGGGTCCCGGATTCAATTCCGGCCAAGGGCATGTACCTTGGTTGCGGGCACATCCCCAGTAGGGGGTGTGCAAGAGGCAGCTGATCGATGCTTCTCTCTCATCAATGTTTCTAACTCTTTGTCCTTCTCTCTTCCTCTCTGTAAAAAATAAATAAAATATATATTTTTTAAAAAGTCATGTTGAGTTGCTAATGAGGTTGTCTTTTCACACAAATTTTAAGTATAAATAGGTGCACAAAGAAGTGAATTCACTCTCTCAAGATCCTAAACAGAAGTAATAACAAATTATGATGTTTTTAATTACATTAACCCCTCACTATTCCCATACCTTTACCCAAATAGAAGCTACAAATAAAGAAATGAGATCTGAGATCTTGAAGGACATGTCATAAAGTTTATAAACCAAACAGTCCCAATGCCCTCAGAGTCCATTTATTATAAATTTGGACACAACTCTAACCCTCTTGGGTATTTGTTTGGCTGGCAGGGGGTGGAGGAAACACACACATATCCATGAGCACTTTAAGATTCTGGTCATGTACCTCAGCAGCCCTGAAGGTCATCACTATGTTCCCAGAGCTACTGACAAAACGTTACCTCGACATCAGCATGCTCTCTGCAGGCACAGGTAAGTAAACTACCTATCCACCTCCAAGTGAACACTCTAAACACTGCTTCACCTACTTTTGTACCATGTGGTGCTTCAATGTGACAATCTTATCTGGAAAATTCACTTACGGAATGGTGCTAAGAAGAATGAAGTACTTATTTCATGTCAGGAAGTAAAAGATAAACTAATCGAGATGAATCTGACTGAGACTGTCCCAGCACTGTGATGACTGAGAACACTGCTGTGTCTCCTTTAGGAGAAGCACTCTGGCCCAGCCCACCGCAGAGCTCAGTGAACAGAATGACAGCCTGAGGGGCAGGTGACACGCCCAGTGCCATTGTTCTGTAGGTCCATGACTAGACCATAGTTTTTAAATGTTCTGTAGGGAAGGTAGGATAGAAACAGATTCTAAATGGCTCTCCCACAGACACAGGTATTCAGCTGCAACAGACTCTCAGGGAAAATATGGGAATTACTCCAACTGTCACCCAATCTCTCAAGCCCTCATTTGTGTAAAATGCTAGAGCCACAGTTAGCCTGCAGGAGAAAAAGTACTTAAGATAATTCAATGTAAGATGGCTCTGCAATACTCTATCTTTTGTTAATTTCCTACTTAAGTAAAATGCTGACTTTTTTTGTCAAATTAAAAATACATTTAAATTTTGTTCATCCTTTTCTTAAATTTTGCCAGGAAAAAACCACAGGCATCCTGTGAGGTCCCCTTGTCCCTGACCCTGCGGACTCACCACACTGCTCCTGGGGCAGAAGGGGTCGTGCTCCTGCCCCCTCCTCTCCGCCAGCTGGTGTAAGTACTCCGCCATCCTCTCTCTCCGCTTTCTTCTCATCCAGACCTGGATCTCTCTCCTCTCCTTGGCAGTTCTTCCAGACCGGCTACTGGAAGACTGCTGAATCCTAAGGAATGTAACAGGCAGAGTACTGCGTGACTTTAAATTTGTGATGGAGATCAGCAGTACCACAACTGTTTATTTGTTAAGATTCTGTCCCATCTCAAAAAATGGCAGCTACACTAATAAAAGAGTAAGATGCTAATTGACTTCTTACTTCACGATGCCCACAAGCCCATCAGGAGTATGCAAATTAACCCAACAAAGATGGTAGGTTAATTTGGAGCCATACAGAAACATCACAAAATGTGTTCATGATAAAGAAAAAGACCTATTGTAAGCTTTGAATTTGTTTCATTAAAATATGGCTAATTTTGAATATTCTAGAACCATAAAAATTTTAAGTGGTTAAAAATTAATTATTCAGGCGAAGCCGGTTTGGCTCAGTGGATAGAACCTCGGTCTGCGGACTGGAAGGTCCCAGGTTTGATTCCGGTCAAAGGCATGTACATTGGTTGCGGGCACATCCCCAGTGGGGGGTGAGCAAGAGGCAGCTGATTGATGTCTCTCATCGATGTTTCTAGCTCTCTATCCCTCTGCCTTCCACTCGGTAAAAAAATCAATAAAATATATTAAAAAAATAAATAATTATTCAAAAAAGTTATTCAGCGGTTACCTAGAGATGCTCCTGGCTTGTTGTTCTGTTAAGCCCAGCTCTTTGCTGGAAACTCCGTCTTTGGTGATGAGGTCGTCAATAATGTCTGCAATGTCCGTCAGCCCAGTCACCTGGAGTGGATCTGCTGAAACGCTTCATTTGCAAGTGCAATTTGAGAAAAGTAGGTCAGTATCTACAACTTATTGCAGCAATGAGAACATGCAAAACTATGCCCTGTGAGAGCATAAATGAGCACAAAAATGATAAACATATAAATACTGTTCCTTGTATTCTTTAATCCAGTAATCCTCAGTGGAAAAGCCTGGTCATCAGTAACTGATCAATATGTGCTCTAACAAAAGCAACATGAGGCCCGGGAGACAAGTTCTACCTGTCCTGCCTGCTGAAACTGAATGCCAATACAGTAAAGAAGATGTAACCAGTGCAGCTTATGGTATCCTTACTGCCTGCGCTAACACAGTGAGGGGGTGCCAGTCCTCAGATTTTTTAAAATATCCCATTTCCAACGGGAATTAACTATATTCTTTTAATCCACAAAAAAAATGTAGTGTAGACGTTCACATACATATGAACAACGCAATTTCCAGAATGTAATATCCAACTTTAAGTAAAATTGTAGATTAATTCTTAATATATTTACCTCTGAAATAACTCATCATTGTTATTCACACCTTTAAAAAAAAAGAGAGACATTATTTCAAACAAACTTCAAGCCAGTTAATTTTTTACTTTCAATTATTAACCTGACTTAGGAATTATATAAACAGAAATTAAAATATTTTTAAACCTCCAAATTGGTTTAAAAGTATATGTATAGCATATTTATCCTTCTCTTGAATATACTATTCGGTAGTAAATGTCCCATTTTGAGATTACTACTTTTGTTCCCAGAATATTACTCTGAATAACACACTTTTAGGAGGTACAATCTTTCTTTGGTTAACACAGTTTAGAATACTGTGTGCAATTTATTCAAACAATCTCAAAACGCAAACCTGGATGGTCTAAAAGTAATACATTTGGGAAAATATCTAATTTAAATCCAAGAAGCCTTTACCAAGAGAAAAAAAAATTACAAGATTTAATGACAGCTTGTCTACAGCCTTTCTTTTATTTAAATGACAGCAATACCATTTACAAATAGCAATTGTTGCTGCTTACATTATTATGGTAATAAAATATATTGTAAACATTCAGTAAAATCATTGACCATCGATATCTAGGTTTAAAAAAACGTTCAAATCCACTGTCAAAGGTAACCCATTGCATTTAGTAGGCCCTGTCCTTCACGTGCTAGAGCGATCTGTTAGGACTCAAGAAGAGCATTTCACTGCCAGCTGCAAATGAGAGAATGAACGGGCACAAGTTTCTAAGTCTCAGTATCCCCAGCTGTGCAGTGCGGACATGGATGCCCAGCACTGAGGGCGCACAGGGCTCGGTAAGTCACAGCCACTATTTTGTTTTCAAACTAAATGCAAGTTCGCATAATTGGCAGTGTTTGAATTTCTCAATTAAAAAAAAATCAAATATTTTAGTAATTCCAGTTGTAGATTTCACACTAATTAGCTAGAGAGATATATGATGCTTGCTTGCTGTGTATCTTATGAAGGTAACAAGACACAGTTCATGTGAATGGTGCAATTTTTTAACTTCCCTTCACCCAAAATTTGTAAGTATTGTAAAATGGCTTCATAAATCCTTCATAACTGTATTCCCTGTAAATACTACTCAGTAAAAATAATACCTTGTTATAGCCTTCAGTGTATTGGAAAATAAGAGCGTAAATTAATAAAGTGGAGAACAATACCAGGAAAACTTGTCTTCTGGTCACTGGAGAGGCCGAGAACTGAGTCGGCAGAAGGAAACGCACACATTTTTTGACGAGAATGAGTTTCTGTTACTGAAAATTCATCTTCAAAAGTCTGTTCTTTGTTGCTTTGATCTTCCTTATTCATAGGAGCCAGGAAATGCACTAATCCAGAGTCTGTATTACAATTAAAACAATAGAGGGAAATATCACATGAAAAAGACAATGCGTAGTGGACACTTCCACATGGCAACGGATACAGCAGACGTTTGCAACATTTTCTACAGCTTTTTACTGTTTGATGAAATACGATATTTAGAATTTACATTGTCCAATGGCAAAAAAAAAAAAAAAAATCTGTTAAATTTATTATCAACTTCAGAAAACATAGCAGACTGAGCTAACGTGGACAAGGGCCTGCCCATCATAAAAACACAAAAGAAATGCTAACATAAAAAAAATTTGATTAATACACAACAAAACCCTGTAAATAAAAAAATCCCCTGGTGCCAGAAGAGGAATGGAATTGGAAGCTGGGATCCCTGGCCAGCGACTCTGGGAGCCCACAGAGGACCCGGGAGGCTCGCAGGCGGCGGGGCGGGGACTTAGCGAGCCTGGAGCTGACGGACAGCAGCTCTGTCCTCAAAGTGGGGGTGGGGAGACCTGCCCTGGACCAGCAGCAAAGCGTGTTCTGTCTGCCGGGATAGTGGACGGAAGAAAAACCCCTTTCTTGCCACAAACAGGCGTGGGGTCTGAATGTATACCATGCACGTAGCACAGCAACTCCAAGCCAAGCAGTGTTCACAAAAATCTGACCTAAAGTTTCCTGCTTCAGTGACAGCAAATGCAAACCACGCCAAAGACAAGCATACACACTCAGCAGAACCCCCAAAGATGGTAAAACATAACAAGTCACAGAGAAAGACACAGCCATGAGAGAGACAGTGTGCAGGCTCGACGACTGAGAACATGAAGGGATGAAATGAAGCAGCCTGAAAGGGCATGAACACTACTAGTCAAACAGACAAAAGAAGACACAAAATAAGAGAAGAGTATATCCCAAGAGCAAATAGATTTGAAAAAGAAACGGAACTTCTAGACATAACGTAGTCACCAAAATTGAACTGCTACAGCAGAGATGACAGGGCAGAAGAGGGAACCGCAGACTAAAAGGCAGCAAGCACATCACGGAAAGAAATGCTGGCAGCTGAGAAGTGGCTGAGAGGGAACGGAGTGAGAAGGTCCCACATACCATGTGGACCAAATAAAGAGAAAAATGCACCTGGAAACAGCATCAAAAATGCCAGGAGAGGGGCAGCATCGGCCTCTCAGAGAAAGGGAGCTGCCGTGGGAGCCAATCGCACTCCCACACCGGGGACCCCGATCTAGCAAAGGGCTGACAGCTCAGCTCAACAAGAACCGTCCGCACCTGACGTCCCCAAAGGCGATGCTCAGTATCTTTCACAGCAAGGCCTGGCAACCCCCTCCCAGCCAGCTCCCGCAAACCTTCTCTGGAAATGGCAATGGGCTTTGAAGCCAGTGTGTTTTCAGACTCAGGGCCGGAAGACAATTCAGTGGCATCCACAGATTCAACCTGTAAAAAACACACCACAGAACAGCTGGTATAAACTTTACAGTGCAAATTATTGTAAACAATTTTATGGAGGTTTTAAGCATTTGCCTTAATGCAGCAAATGAAAGAACGGGAAGTTTTACTCATTTGTGGCGTAACTGATTTAACCTTTGAAGAGCTCAGGAAAACAGCACCAGGTCATGTAATTTTAGAGAAGGGAGCAACGTCAGCTCCCATCCGGACAAAGCCTTCTGTTCTGAAGATGAGAGGCCACGGTCCAGAGACGCCGAGTGGCTTCCGCAGAGGCAGCATGGCCTTGCACCGGCCTTCAAGCTTCCTGGCCAGCGCTGGCCACGGAGCCCGCCTCCTCCAGGCCTGCCAGCTGCTCTCTCCCCTGAACGGGCAAGCCAGCAGCCCTGCACCTGCGTGCGCTTTCTAAAGGAAGAGACCATCCTAAACCAGAATCCAAACCTGCGTGTAAGTCAGTACTATTTCCTTCAAGGCATTTCGCATCATTACCTGGTGCACTGTCTTACGCCATATATTTTAGTGTAGTTTCTCATATGTTCAATCTTTTTAATGAGTGTTCAATATCTGGATTGATAAATATATCTTTAACCTGTCAGCATGCCAGTGTGGTGTTGGTATGTCAGGGATGGAATTCTTTTTCTTTTTAAAATATATATTTTTATTGACTTAAAAGAGGAAGAGGGAAGGAGAAAGAGATAGAAACATCAATGATGAGAGACAATCACCAATCGGCTGCCTCCCACACACCTCACACTGGGGATCGGGCCCGCAGAACCCGGGCACGTGCCCCAACTGGGAATGGAACCAGGACTTCCTCAGTCCACAGGCCAATGCTCTATCCACTGAGCCAGACCAGCCAGGGCAGGGATGGAATTCTTATCCTGCAGACCAATCTGAATTTCCCAATATAAGTCTCTGATGCATTCCAAAAATCTTTACTATTTATTTCTTAATCTTTATTTTACATAAATTTTACTTCCTAAAAAAGGACAGAATATTTGTGCAAAATAACTAAATGTTGGAGACTTCCTTTGTAGGTAGTTGTTGATCATGATATCCCAATATATGTAAAAATTAATCTTTTTATTATAAATACTTTTTAAAGAAATAAAAAACTTGTAAGGACTACTAATCCATTGTATAATTAAAAGAAATTGGGAAATCCAAATAGAAGGACAGTATTTATAAAGTTATAAAAATCTTGCTGAGGAAAATGATAAAATGACAGTGGGGGGAGGTGAGGGCCTGAGGGAGGCGGGCTGGAAGGTTAGTGGAGAAGGGACATCTGTCATACTTTCAACAACAAAGGTTGTTTGTTTCAAAGCAATTCTGGCTTTATAAGTCATACGTGTGTTTTCCTGGGAGAAGCTTCAGTTCCCTCCTTAGAAGCTGAAGGCAGTGGTTCTCACCTGGAGGCAGCTGGCAGCCAGACCAGACAGGGAGTCTACCAGAGGCCTGCAATGGGGACAGCCGCCTGACACACACGGTTACCTGGCCTCTCTTGTTTATAAAATTAATTACACTACAAATCTGATAGCTCGGTAATAAAAGCTCAACGAAGACCGCCTACCTCCTGGCAGTGCCAGTCCGCCGCCGGGCCCAGCACCCCGCGCTCGGGGAAGTCCTGCTCCACGCGGTGGGCGATGCTCTGGATGGCCAGCAGCTGTTCGTCGATCTTGCGGAGCTGCGAGCTGAGGCGCTGCAGCTGGGGGCGCGCTGCGGGGCGGGGCGTGGGGCCGGGGCGGGAGGCGCCCTCCAGCAGCTCCTGCAGCAGGTAGGCCCGCAGCCCGCCCCCTTCCCCTTCCCCTTCCCCTTCCAGGGCGGCCGGCTGGGAGCGCTCTTCTTGGAACTGGAAAGCTGGCTCCGGCTCGTCTGTGTATCAATAAGGTAATGAGAGAACTGATTACAACCAGGCAGATGGAGGTGCTGAGATCTGATCTTTGGGAAGATCTCAATGTAAGTGACATAAAACCCCATTCCAAACCAGTTTTAACCACAGACTTAGAAATGCCATTTGTCTCTGTTGTGAGTAAGAATATAAAAGTGTTACTGTGACCCCAGTCTTCTACATACAAGGCAGTTTGAATGTTACTTAAATTTTTTTTGTTGATTTCAGAGAGGAAGGGAGAGGGAGAGGCAGAAACATCGGTGATGAGAGAGAATCACTGATCGCTGCCTCCTGCACACCCCCCCGGGGACCGAGCCTGCCTCTGGGCACACGCCCTGACCGGGAATGGAACCGTCACCTCCCGGTTCGTAGTTCAATGCTCAACCACTGAGCAACACCAGCCAGGCTTGAATGTTACTTTTATCCTCTGCTACAAAAATATAAAAAAAGCAACTTTTCAACTCTCCTTGAACACCAACAATATCACACAGTGAACGCTAGACCCCCCCGTTGGCCATTCCTGATTCTGAGGGTATCTCAGGCAGTCAGCCCTCCAGACCTGCCTCCTCGGTGGTTGTGAAGATCAAGCTATGGGCAAAACACTCTGAGACGCGGGTTACTGAGCAAATGTAAGCAGTGCTATTGTCTTTCGTCCTGGGGGACCTCCCACGGGAAGATGGAGGCGCATTCCAGGTTGGCACGTGGGTGGTGATCTTTCCCTAGCGGCTTAGGCTGCACCTGTTAATGTCCTCAGCACTCTACCACCTGCCCAGCCTGAAGGTCTCCCCTCCCCTCATCACTCTCAGGGAAGAATCCGGTGCATCAGCTTCAAATAGAAGACACAGCAAAACGCCAGCGTGGCTCAGTGGTTGAGCGTCAACCTATGAGCCAGGGAGGTCGGGGCACAGGCCCAGGTTGGGTGCTCGATGCCCAGTGTGGGGCGAGCAGGAGGCAGCCGATCAATGATTCACTCTCGTCATTGATGTTTCTCTCTCATCCTCTCTCTGAAATCAATAAAAAGAAAATGCAGCAAAAGAAATGGACATCCCCAGGCCCGAATGGCCAGCAGACCTCACGAAACAGCTTCCCTTTTCCCGGAGAGCCTGCACACGCAGTGTCGTGGGCACATCACCCGGAGGGGACCTGAGTCCCATGGCTGCGGGGCTCCCCTCGCCCAGCCACTCTGCTGCTATTATTGCGGAGTCCCCACAGGAGGTGCTTCTGCAATACGCAGCAGCTGTGTCCGGAAATAACGAGTAAGCTCCCACTAAAACGGGTTTGTAGTTTGGTTTGTTTTCCATTTTAAAAGCCTAGCCCCGCCCCTCCATTTTCCAATAATGCAAATCCCAGGCACCTCTACCGGGTGACGGCCTATCCTCTGCCCTTACACTATTTTATGTAATAAATGTTACCGTACTAACATTTAACTTTAAATCGTCTTCCTTTTAAACAGGCATTGCTAAGTCCTTGTCTGTAATAAGTACAGAGGCATCCACGGGCATCCTCCTGACCAGGCAGTCCCCTACCAGCACCCCTCAAAGGAGGGTAGGACTCGCTCCCCTGGCAGAAGACATCAGCTGCTGTTTGAAAAGCTGCCTGACGCATTCAGTGGTCACAGGGCGAGGGGTCTGGTTCTATTTTCAAAATTTCGGAATTCAATGGCTATGAAACGAAGGGGAACTACGGGAGGCACTGGGAGCCACAGGCTGGGCTGGATCAGCCTCCGGAGCCATGAGGACACCACAGGCACAGGAGGGCCAGATCCGGCTCAGCGTGCAGTCCCCAGGCAGGGCCGGCGGGGCCGACGCCCAGGTCTGCTCTGTCTGCATGTGAAGTCCACGCTTCTCCTGCTCCGGCTGAGAGCCCAGCCTCCCACGTCTCCTCCGCTCCACGCCGCTGGCAGGCCTGGTGGGAGGGCAGAGCCTCTGGTCTGAAGTGCTGGCCTAGAGCAGGCAGTGCTGACCGCACCAGCACCTGGCAGCCCGCTGGGCCGTGCCTCCCCCAGGTGACCGCTGGAGGAGGCGGCCGCATGTGTGATTCGTCCAGTCACTCACATGGTGTATGACCAACCGGGTTTTGAAGAAATCTTAATCTTGCAAGTATTTTACATTAATGCAACCCGATTTATGGCTATAAAACTCAGTATTTTACTGACAAAGCACTGTTGGCTACCGTGCCTGTGTATTCCTATGTGCTATTCTAGGATTTCCTACCTTTTTAAATATGAGAATTCCTTTTAACGCCAAAAATCTCATTAAATCCCACAGGGCATTTTTTGCTAACCTCATTGATTGAGAGGAGACATCTGCAGCCGCCCTGCAAAATACCCATGGCCCCGCCGGCCCACACTTACCCACCTGGCCCCACTCCTCGGCCAGGGAGAAGCCGCTTCTGGTTCCTTCTGCCAGGCCAGGCGGTAGTGCCTGTCTGCCTGGAGCAGCGCCGGGGAAGGGGCAGCTCCTGTGTTGTCCGGGGCGCTCACCTCTGTCCTCTGTGACCGTCCTCTCTGACGATGGAGGGGAGGGGACCTCGGCGTGGGCAGTGCCTGTGCCCCAGCTTCCCCCCTCCACAGCGGATGGGGACGGCGATGCCTCTGCCGGTGGGAGAGGTAAGTCCTCCGCAGAGCTGGCGGGTCCTGTCAGGAAAGCTAAGGCAGAAGACTAATTACGCTTCTGAACGAGGAATTGGGAGGATTAACAGCTCATTCTGAGCATCCTGCCGCAGTGCTTTCCAGGGCAGAGGGGGAGGGAAGCAGGTCAGCAATGCTGTGGGCGGCACTACCGTGGCTCTTCACCCTGCGCAGGGCAGCAGCCCGGGTCACGGTCACGGCTGCAGCCATGTGATGTAACGCGGCCGGGGACGGGCCTGCCGCCTGCCACGGGGGGGCGTCCTCCTCGGAAGGCTCCCTGACAGGCAGCTCTTGCAGGTCGCCGGCTTCAATGTCAATCACGTTTATGTAAGCGTGTCCCACCTGAGCCAGAGCACAGCATCACAGGAAGTTACGGCTTTACTCTACAGCCCCTCTACCCCCGACCCCCACCCCAACCCAAAGTCCGCTTCCGAGGGTAAGGAGGGCTCCCAGCCACTCAGGGAAAGCTGCCGAAGCGCTGCCGTCATCTCAGCGTTTAATGTTAGGGGCATCATATTTAACCTTTCCAGCAGGCTGCACAGGTGGGATTGGCAGCCGCATTTCATCCAATCACTTGAGTAATGAGGATGACCATATACATTTTAGCATAAAGCTATAATGAAAACTTCTGAACAAAACCCAGACCAAATGCCATACCGTGTCTGAGGCTGAAGGGGACAAAGGCTTCTCTGCCCGTTCGGAGGGAAGGTTGAGATTCAGAAGCACATCTGCAGGCAATGCCTGGGGGACAGTCAAAGGTTCACATTCTGAAAATTAAAAAGAAAAATCAGGAGTATAAAAAAACCTGTAATTAGTCCTAAGTCATTAGCTTTGTAAAAACAAGTGATCAACAAACAACATGTATTTGTTCACAGGTATAATTTACTCTAGAGTAATTCTTAACTGAATGGAGATTGGCTCTTGCTTTTCTCATATGAATGATTCAAAGAATAATAAAGTATGCAAGTCAAGAAAATACTGTATTTCCTATTTTCCATTTCATATCATATTACATCATGTTTGTTTAAGAATCACTAATTTTTTTTTTTTTGCTTTCAACATTGTTTATCTGTTTATTTAAATAGCTTTATTGAGGGGGACCTAATTCAGAGATTCCACAGATAAATTTTACTACTCAAAATGCTTAACACCTAAATTGTATAAAACTCATTTAACTTCTTGCCAAAACCGGTTTGGCTCAGTGGATAGAGCGTCAGCCTGCGGACTGAAGGGTCCCAAGTTCGATTCCAGTCAAGGGCATGTACCTTGGTTGTGGGCACATCCCCAATAGGGGGTGTGCAAGAGGCAGCTGATTGATGATTCTCTCTCATTGATGTTTCTAGCTCTCTATCCCTCTCTCTTCTTCTCTGTAAAAAAATCAATAAAATATATATTAAAAAAAAATCCACACACCTCATTTAACTTCTTATTCAAAAGTAAAATAAAGAACCCTGTTTCAATAGGTCAGCAAACATCTAACTCAGTGTCTCTTGTCCTAGGACTCCAATCTTATTTCCTAGCGTCTATTTTTAATAGAACAGTACTTTCAAATTCCATATGCAAACCAGAACTCATTGTCAGAGTGAGTACTGGAAACTTGTGGGCTTGAATTTATACGTTACGAACACTATAAAACGAGAAGACAAAAAATGAAAATACTTTAGTTACTATCTGTCTCTATCAGATCCAGGGATTGATATGAATGCTTTTTCATGGGAGGGAGAGGGGAATCTAATGTTTTGACATTATGCAGACAATCTTTAACAGTCATGCTTTCTCAAAAAAAAAAAAAAAAAAAAAAATTTAAGAAAGGAAGAAATCCCACCTGGTGTGGAGGAAATGGCTTGTGGATTTTCCCGACATTCAGATACCACTTGAGAAGCAGCTTCTTTATCTGGTAGTCAATTAGGAGATTTGAGGCAAAGAGAGAAATAGAAAAAGGATTTCATAATCACAGGGAAAATTAAATACATAAATGCAGATTTTTTAGACTACTGGGTATAAAAGATAGTAGAAAAGTAGACTGACAACTTAAATTTTTAATTTTTAAAAATTAATAACTTCAGCCGAATCCGGTTTGGCTCAATGGATAGAGCGTCGGTTTGGGGACTGAAAGGTCCCGGGTTCGATTCCGGTCAAGGGCATGTACCTTGGTTGCAGGCACATCCTCAGTAGGGGGTGTGCAAGAGGCAGCTGATCGATGACTCTCTCATCGATGTTTCTAACTCTCTATCTCTCTCCTTTCCTCTCTGTACAAAATCAATAAAATATATTTTTTAAAAAATAATAAAAATTAATAACTTCATATTTTATTATTATTTATCTCCTGGGCCTCATTAGCTGACAAGCTGCAGACTTTAGACGACCCAGCAAAGAACACCCAAGCGCTATCTCATTTAAGAACGTCTCACAGGTGACCAACAGTCACATGAAAAGATGCTTAAGGTCATTAGTCATCAGAGATGCAAATTAAAACCATAATAAGCTATCACATCAAGCCTGTCAGAATTGCTATCATCAATAAATTAACAAATATAGCAGCTGGTGAGGACGTGGAGAAAAGGGAGCCTCGTGCACTGCTGGTGGGAATGCAGACTGGTGCAGCCACTGTGGAGAACAGTAGGAAATTCCTCAAAAATTAAAAATGCAACTGCCTTAACAACCCAGCAATTCCACTTCTGGGAATATATTCAAGGAAACATGAACTACTAATTCAAAAGAATGTATGCACCCCTATGTGCTTTGCAGCAGTATTTACAATAGCCAAGATCTGGAAGCACATAAGTGCCTATATTTAATAGAAAAAAACGCTAATTAACCAGGATGCTGTAATGGGTTGACCGAACAGGAGGAGGTCGCGCACCTGAGCTGGGGGAGGGCTTGGTCAGCAGCTGCGAGGCTGCTTTAAGGGCCGGAGAGGGAGGCAGGGCCGGACCCAGAGCAGCTGCGGCTGCTGCAGGGCAAGTGAGCCAGGCAGGGCTGAATTGGCAACTCCAGGTGGGCCAGGGCCTGCTTGACCCTCGCCGTGGCAGCCCAGGAGCAGGCAAGCGGCCCGCAGGCAGCCCCAGCAGGGCCTGTTTGGCTGTCACCACGATGCAGGACAGGCAGGCCCGCAGAGGGCAGAGAACCACGGGGAGGGGCCTAAGCTGTCAGTAGGACATCCTCTCACCGCTGTCCCCCTCCCGGGCAGAGCTGGCGGCCCTCCCTGCAGCACTCGCAACCTGCCCCCCACTCACCGGTTCCAGCCACCCCCCGCCTCCCGGCCTCAGGCCAGAGCTCAGCGTTCTGTCTGTGGATTAGGGTGCAGCCCATGGGATCTCAGAACAAACATCTCTATTATGCTTCCAGTTATCTCAAATTCAACTGGAAACGTGGTTTTAAGTTTAAAACGTGTAAAGCACATATCAGGGTTAGGGACAAGAACCTGGGATGCCAGACTACCACCAGGTAATTTAAAATCCCCTACATCATTTTGAAGAAAAAGTCTAACTAGATTACACACTGCAGAGTGCACGAAAGTCTGACTCTCCAGGAGAGCAGGTACCTGGGTCCGTGTTGGTGCTGGCGTCCTGCCGGCCCACAGCGCTGCTGCGCACAGTGGCCAGGAAGTGCAGCCCGGCGGCCGTGGCCACGTCCCCCTGCAGCGCTTCTGCAACAAACAGGGACCCATCAGCGAGGGGCCAGGGAGGGGAGCCCCGCAAGGGAGGCGAGGCCCGAGGGCAGAGCTTTCTGAGCCAGGTGGCAGCTGACTCCAAGGCAGCCCGGTGGCATCAAAACCCACGTTGTGGGACTCCGCAGGCCCAGCCTGATGAGCAGTCATGGTTGACAGAGGGGTGATGTGGTCAGACTGGTGATCTGAAACCACCGGCTGGGGGGTGGAGCAGGGGTCTGAGGGTGGGGCTGCCGCGGTGCCAGCCAGACAGGGACGGTGGGGATGGCAGCAACGCCACCCGCAGTGACAAAGGGCGGAGACCGAGAGGCTGAGCACCCGGGAGGGGGGGCAGACAGACCCAGGAGGACCCGAGTTTGGGGTTTGTAAGAGAGAACAAGCCAGCCGGTGGGGGAGGGATGGTGAATTCGGCTGTCCACGCCGCCTGAGGCAGCTGCACCCCACGGGAAGGTGAGGCGGGAGGAGGGGCCAGTCCAGGCTGTTGGGGAGTCTGGGTGAGATGGGTTTTCCTGGGGGTCACCAGGACCTAGCAGAGTCAGTGTCAGTGACGGGGTGTTATAATGAAAGCACAGGGCTGGCTTTGCCCCGTTCCCAGCACAGAGCTCCCTGAACCTCAGCACATCCCGAGGCGTTAAACACCAGCATGTCATCCGGCTTCTATCTAACGCTCTGCTCCCCGGTAGTGGTCGGCAAACTTGCTCTGTGAAGGGCCGGAGAGTATGAGCTTCGTGAACCAGCGCTGGGCCGCCCGGACAGCGTGCACCCCGGGGACGGCTGCGTTTCAGGGAGACCCAATTCCGGAACAGGCGTGGTCGGCACCGGCCTGTGGCCTGGTCTGTCAGGGGTGCTCTGTGGGATCTCTCTCTCTCTCTCTCTCACGCACGCACACGCACGCACCACGGTGTCAGATCACAGGGGAAGAGCGTAGCCTTTTTATCTAGACGTTCCCAGATGCGTGGTCTGGAAGCGGACTGTGATGAGCTCAGACCCCACACCGGCACATACATACCCAGCGGGATCTCAAAGGCCTCCAGCGTCTGGGAACCACGATGCTCTCGCTGCTCCTAAACGAACCCCAAACCATCAACTTACAGTTAGCTCAATGGCATTTATTGTTTTGAAAAATATATTTAATAGCTCTGAGCATGGTTAAGTCTTGGGAATAGGTTCAAAGTAACCCTAAAAGGAGCTCCCAAAGTCAGGCCCTAAAGGAGGAGGCCACAGCTTCGTGCTTTCCCTCTGCAGAGCAGCTCAGCTCCCCGCACCCCTGGGGCAGATTTCCTCCTGGGCCGGCTAATGAGGACTTCCTGTGCCCGGAAAACACCACGTAACCTGTCCTTGCAAAGCTAGGGAAGCCGGTCACACGTTTAGGAGTGTCTGGGGAGGTCTGACTTCCCACACCGGCTGCACAATCAGGTGTGGGCCCTGTCAGAGGCCCCTCAGCACAGAGAGGAAACTGAAGCAGGGGACACCCAGTCACACCAGGGTGCACCCCGCATCAGGAACAGGCAGTGACGTCAGGGTAGGGAGGCCACACGGCAGAGGCTCTAAGCCACCGCCAGTGACTGGCCATGGAGCTGGTTCCGCCTCATACTGTGCCTCGATCAGAGTCTGCAGGTCACAATCGGTGCTCCAGCCCCGGCCAGGTGCTCCCCCAGCCCACTCCCCGGGCTCTGGCTGCGCAGGTGGGAGAAGGCAGGGATGTACCTCGGCTTTCCCAGCTGCCCCCGAGTCCGGGGCAGGCAGGACGGCGGCCTCTGGCTGCTCGGCCGCACTGGGCTTTCTCCTCTGCTTCTCGGAGCGCTTCTCCTGCAGCTCTCTCTCTGCCCGCCGTCTCTGCCTGGGGAAGACACAGTGCGAAATGTATTCCCACTGTGCCAGTGACAGTGTTCCATCCGTGTCATGCTCCATGGGAGACGGTCATGGAATTATGTCCACAAACTGTTTCAATGGCACTTAGTTAAATTAGCACGAGATCCTGCCACAAGAGAAGCAAACACCAGCCAACGTCAGGACACGACGCCGTCCAGCTCCTCTGCTGGCGGCGGGCTTTCCGGGGCCCCCGGAGGGAGCATCCGGCCAGGACCCCAGGAGGGGGTTTCAAGCTCCCTCCTCTGCGGAGACCTCCGCTCAGGGAGGCTCACCCGGAAGAGGGAACACCCGGTAAATGAAGGAAGGACTGCTTCTGGAAAGAGAGCACTGACGACAGAACTTAGGGTCATAAATGCAAACACTGCAGTGTCTGCTGGTCAGCACACATACTAAGCATCCATGAGTAAACACTACAGGTGCCCTTCATCAGGCACAGCCTTCCTGGGACAGGCACAGGCTCACCGGCCGCGTCCCCTCACTCGCCCCCCACCTCCTAGGTGAGCGTGGAGGGCGGTAAGAGGAGGAGGGCCCGGGAGGACCCGGAGTCTGCAGAGGGCTGCTCCTCCTGCCACAGGAGAGGCAGGGAGCCCGCCCGCTGGGGTGCGAGGGAAGAACTGCTTACTGAAACAGAACAAATAACGTATTTGTCTCCAGCCTGGCCGTGTGACTCAGCTGACTGGGTGTTGTCCCGAGCACCCAAAGGCCACTGGCTCGATTCCTGGTCAGGTTTTGGGCTTAAACCCCAGTAGGGGTGTGCAGGAGGCAATCGATGCATGTTTCACTCTCACATCAATGTTTCTTTTCCTCCCTCTGAAAATCATTTAAAAATATCTTTTAAAAATAACAGTATCTGTCTCTCACAGCACAGATTTTCCTTGTCCCCAGATGTGCTCCAATGCAGGACACCCGACAAGGAAACTGAATACGCAATTGTGCTTGGGTAGGAGTTTGAGCCAGTTCACTTCCAGTTTGTAACTACAGTAGAGGCCCGATGCACGAAATTCATGCAAGGGGCTTGGCCCTGGCAGCCCCGGCTTCGTCCAGAGGAAGTCTGGAAGGATGACGGGTCTAATTAGCATATTACGCTTTCATTGTCACAGACGACTGTCACCAATGACCTTGCCTTTTCTTGCCGTCCTTCCCTGGCCGCGCTCCAGGAGGCTCCCCTTTGTCCTTTCCAAGTGAGAGGAGCCCGGGGTCGCCTCGCTCCAGGAAATCCGGGGTCGGTCTGGGCTGGCTTTGTTTACACGCAATGAGGTTTTCGATCCGAGTGAGCTGTGGGCTTCTGCACTACAGGAGAAGAAACAGCGTATTAACTTATAAGTACATACCTCAATTATGCAACATGCTAATAGAATATTGGGGAAAACCATTTGTTTAAATTAAACTAAGATGTGCAAGAGGTGAACAGGTCAAAGACAACAAACACATTGGGTGGACGAGTGAGATGAGATCCTGATCTGAAAGAATAAATGACAGCCGTGTGCGGAGAATGCCAACTGGGTTGCCCCATTCCAAAAGTGAAGCTTCAAGTCCTCATCTCCTTCATTTCTTGTCCAGGTTAAAAATCGTCCTCTTATCAATGATATTACATGCCTAGCATTTGATTTTAAATTCTTTGGAATAAGGAGGACGCAAGAGGCTGGGCGTATGAATGAACAGATAGCACATAACAGGTTGTGGGTAACCACCCATGCTGAAATATTATTCTCTCTAATAAGAAAGTCTTTAAATCCTTCTCAAAATGTCTTTCTACCCTTTATTCTTTTTCCCCCTGTTCAAAACATGTTCAGAAGAAGGGAGGGCATGCTAAGTATTTTTTCTAAGGAAATGACCATTTCTTTTTTCTTTTTTTTTTAATAAATTTTTATTGTTCATATTATTACAAATGTTCCTTTCCCCCCCCTTCTCACCCCACCCTCTGCCCTTTCCCCACCCCCCATTGTCCTCATCCATAGGTGCAGTTTATGTTCAGTCTTCCCACATCCCCCTCTCCCCTTTTCCCCAAGAATAAACAGTTCACTCCCCTTCCATACCTCTGATTCTATTATATTCAATAGTTAATATTGTTCCTCAGATTTTTTTTTTTTTTTAGTTTCCTTGGTTTTTAGATTCACTTGTTGATAGTTACGTATTTGTTGTTCATAATTTTTATCTTTGTTTACTTTCTCTTCTGAAAGAACCCCCTTCAGCAATTCATATAATTCTGGTTTGGTGGTGATGAACTCCTTTAGCTTTTTTTTATTAGTGAAGCTCTTTATCTGGCCTTCGATTCTGAGTGATAGCTTTGCTGGGTAGATTATTTTTGGCTGTAGGTTCTTGCTATTCATCACCTTGAATATTTCTTGCCATTCCCGTCTGGCCTGCATGGTTTCTGTTGAGAAGTCAGCTGACAATCGTATAGGTGCTCCTTTATAGGTAACTACCTGCTTTGCTCTTGCTTCTTTTAATATTCTCTCTTTGTCTTTTGCTCTTGGAATCTTAATTATGATTTGTCTTGGTGTGGTCCTCTGTGGATTCCTTTTGTTTGGAGTTCTGTGCGCTTCCTGGACTTGTAAGTCTAATTCTTTCACCAGGTGGGGAAAGTTTTCTGTCACTATTTCTTTCAGTATGTTTTCAATATCTTGCTCTCTCTCATCTTCTGGGACCCCCATAATTCTGATGTTGGTTCACTTGAAGTTGTCCCAGAGGTTTCTTACATTATCTTCAACTTTCTGGATTCTCTTGTCTTCTTGTGTCTGCGGAGGAGTGTCTTCTGGCTCTTTATGTTCCAAATCTTTGACTTGATTCTTGCGATCTTCCATTCTGTTTTTAGGACTCCATAAAATATTTTTTATTTCAGACAATGTATTCTTTAGGAAATGACCATTTCTTCTCCTGGTACCATCTTCAAAGCTTTGTTTAAATTCAATTAATTGGAGTGACTCTGGTTAACAAAATTACCCAGGCTCCAAGTGTCCCATTCCATAACACATCATCTGTACGTTGTATGGTGTGTCACCACCCAAGTGAAGTCTCCTTCTATCTCCATGTATCCCCTTCACCCTCTCCCACCTCCCCTTCCCCTTTTCTCATCTTCAAACCCTAAAAGTGCACTAGGAAATGATTACTTAATTACCTCTTAGGACGGTACTACGAACTCACAAAATGAGAACGGACCAATCTGAATTTCATAAGTAAGAAGTTTTGGTGGCCTTAAGATTCAATCTTTTGTGTTTTAAGTACTTTAAAAAGACACCATTTTTTAATATATGCAGCTATTTCTAGACCTGGTCTATTTAACCATTTTAACAGTAACAGATTTGAAAGTAATCATATCACAACTGCTAGGAGCCTTGAACAATGCTTCTCTCCCTCTCTCTCTCTACACTCACACACACACACACACACACACGGCATTTTACTTTGCTACTTATGTCTTCTGAGAGGAGAAGAAACGCGTGTGAAAGCATTCAGCACGTTCTGGTGTTAACGTACAAGACCTGAAACCTTTGGAATACGCCCGTTATTCTGAACGGCGTTTGCATGGGCTGTCAACAAGCAGCACGTCTCTGGAGGACGGGTCAGCTGTCCCGAGCGCAGGGTGCCCGGTGAGGGGCCCGGGGCAGTAGTTACCGTGTCCTCGGGCGCCGGGCGGGCGGGAAGGAAGGAGAAGCCGGGGCGCTCGCTCTCTCCGGCGGCCCTGAGGGGCGCGCAGGGGGCCGGCCCCGGGGCGCGGCACACGGAGAAGAAGGTGAAGGCGCGGGGCGGCGGCAGGTGCAGCAGCGGGAACCCGAAGGGACCTGGAGGGGCCACGTCACACCCTCGGGGCTCCAGAAACAAGGCCGCGTCCAGCCCAGGTGTCACGGTGTCCTGCCCCACGTACTGGTCCAAGTTCAAGTGCTGGGGGACCTCCAGCCCCCCGGTCCCGGGCCCCGGCTTCTGCGCCGCTGCGGGCCGCGGGCCCCGGGCCCCGGGGGGCGCAGGGCGCTGGCGGGAGCCGCGGGGCCCCCAGGCCTCTCGGGGCGGCGGCAGGCCCCTGGGGGGGCCCCACGGGGCGCGGTCCGCGGGGAAGGCCGGGGGCTGGGGGCCCGGCTGCAGCCGGAGCAGCGGGAAGGCCTCGGCCGGCCTGGCGGTGGCGGGGGGCACAGGCGGTGCGGCCAGGAGCGGGAGGGCAGCGTGGCCAGCGGGGCCCGGGGGCACCAGGGTGGGCAGTGAGCTCCCAGCTGCTGTGTTCAGACCGCTGTTCCGAGGCTGGCCTTCCAACGGACAAGGAACATTCTGGAAGAGAAAAAATCCATTGTGTAAGGTGGAAATGTGTAACAAACTCCTTATTTGCTCAGTGTGTTTGGGAGGGGTTGGGGTGTAATAATTGCCAAAAAGGTTATTTTCCTGGGGCGACGCCATGGGCTGCCCAGGGGGCTACCTGGGAACGGTCTCCACCACTCTGCACGGACGGCCCGGCTCCGGGGCGGGGCCCCCCAGCGGGCTCCCCCGGCGGGAGCTGGGCCCGCAGCTTCTCCTCCAGCTTCGCCCGGGGGCCGTCCCCAGCACTGCCCCCCGGCGGGCCGGGCCCCGGGCTCCCCGGGGGGTGTGCAGGCTGCGGCTGCGGAGCCAGCCCGGAGGTGGGGGTGCCCGGGAGGCGGGGGAGGGACGGCCCGGCCATCTGCATCAGCGTCAGGAAGTTGATCTGTTGCAGCTGCAAGAAAATCAAAGCCAGAGAAACACCTGAGAATGGGATGGAGAAAAACACAGAGCCAACGGCCACCAGCGGCCTCCTCCGCCTGTCACACCACTGTCTGCTCGGGGACCCAGGAGGCTGGGCGGGAGGCGCTGGGGGCTTTCCGTGAAAAGGAGAGACTGGCTTTGTGTTCGAGGAGCTGCCCCGAGCATGAACCCGTGCGCAGTGTGCTGAGCCCCGCACACACCCATCTCTGCGGGTCCGGGGGAGGGTGGGAGGTCCTCACCGGGCCCCCCGCCAGGGCTGGCCAGCAGCCCGAACCACGATGGACAGATGACTGTGACAGCTCCCTGGGCGCGAGGGCTAAGGGGCGGCCTGGCTGACAGCACCAGGCAGCTCCCGCCCGGGACCTGAGCTGCTGAACGACCAGAGTGCCCACCGCAGCACGCCCTCCCCGGCTGTGTCCGCGAGGGAGAATCACACGCATCATGGCCTCCCGTCGTGGCCGGGGCTCACCTGGACTAGTTTGAGCATCTCGTCCTGCAGCATCTGCCGGGCGGCACCGGAGCCGGGAGGGGCGGGCAGCCGCGCCCGGGGCCGGCCGCGCGGGGCGGGCGGGGGCGCGGGCACCAGGGTCTGGGAGGCCACGCTGACCCCACCGGGCCCCGCGGGCGGGGCCGCGGCCGCCCCCTCTTCGCAGGCCGGGGTCTGCGCCCTGCGGAGCGAACGGACACAATCCACGTCAGCCACCACAGCGCGTTCCACGTCTATGAGCCGGGTACTCGGATCCCACTCGTTTCTTCTGCTCCCCCAGCTTCCTGAAGGTTTTCAGGAAATGCAAGCGCCACGCCTGCCTCCGGTGCCCTCACATCGCTCCACCAGACACACTGCGTGGCCGCGCTCAGCCGTGGTCCTCTCCCGCGTCACAACAGAACACTCACGTCTTACTCGCCTGGTCCCTGCAGGCACGTGAGTGAAACCTGTGCCACCCTCCTCCCGCTGCACACACTACCCAATTGGGTTTGAGAATATGTGCGTGTTTTTTAACTACGTTTAATGTCCCAGAATGGAGTTACGAAAACAGGGAATGTGGCTGGCTGGTGTGGCTCAGTGGCTGAGCCTCCATCCACGCACCCGGAGGTCACTGGTTCAGTTCCCGGTGCCTGGGTTTCAGGCTCAATCCCAGTAGGGAGCATGCAGGAGGCAGCCAATCAATGATTCTCTCTCATCACTGATGTTTCTAGCTCTTTCTCCCTCTCCCTCTCTCTCTGAAATCAATAAAAACAGTAAGAAAATTAAAAAAGAAAACAGGGAATGTATGGGTTAAAAATGTTTAATTCTAAGATGGGTTAAAACATATTTAATTCTAAGTTTGCTATACAGCAAACCCACACTGATCATTAAATGTGAAATAACAGTATTATGAATATTTCATTTCCAAACAAATCAGAGTTTGTGTTTATAATTAAACCCTAACCAACAAACTAAAACGACTATTTGGGGATGATTCCTTAAACATAGCAGGTACTCAGTGTATTCTAAGCAAATCAATTTCCTAAACTAAATAAGGGAGCAGGCATTATCCTATCCAAATAACTGCTCATTGTCTCTAACAAGAAAAGAACGTTCTAAATCACTTTTAGATTCATCGGGGCCTGCTCTCATTTCCTCTCAACAATACCTTCCTTTTACCAAACACCTAGTACACGAGAACAAAAGCTCCTTTGTCCAGTCCGTGGAAAAGGGGCCTTGCACCTCGGTGCCGTTCAGACACCGCTGTTAGCCTCTGCTTCCCAAGGAGCAGAGGTCAGTGCTCAGGACGGAGGAGGTCTCCAGGTAAAGCTGTGCTCACCGTCCTGCTTCCCCAGATTTCCACACGGACACCCGCCCGCTCTGCACACGCGCAGCGGCAGGCGGACGCGGACGCTCACAGATGAGAGCATTCTACCGCGACCGGAACCTGCTCCAGGCTGAGAGTGGGGACCTGCCACATCTGTCCATAGGGGAGCCACTGCTTTTTCAGAAAAGCCTGTTCTAAAACAGTCCTTACCTCCGTAAAACACACCTGTTAGAGGAGCATCTTTCCCTAAGTCACTTAAAGGTGTCAGAAAGGTGAACCTACGTCACTTTTTTTAAAATACGTTTAGATTTTTTAGAGAGAAAGGAAGGTGGACAGAGAGAGAAACATCAATCAGCTGCCTCCTGCACACCTCCCACTGGAGATGTGCCCACAACCAAAGTACATGTCCCTGACTGGAATCGAACCTGGGACCCTTCAGTCCGCAGGCCGACGCTCTGTCTACTGAGCCAAACTGGTTAGGGCCTATGTCACTTTTTTAATGCTTCAAGTTGATTTCATATTCTTCTCTTAGTTTTTGGCAAAAGCATTCAGTAATTATTTCAAAAGGCTCAGGAGGCATCAGTTTATTCTCGTGCCTATTTATAAAACAGGATAAAATGGTAGTGTATGCAAACGCTCTTACCTAGAAACTTCTGAACTTCTGTCTACACAAAATGAATGAGGAATGGTGTGTTCCTGGTTTGAAAAGGCTTCGATCACACACAGTTATAGATTAACGATCGCTTAGAAACCAAGATATTCTTCACATTATGTAAGACAGGCGATTGGATGGTCAGCCATGTCAGAGTCTAAACATCCTCTAACGCAGGCTCTGCAGTGTTAGTTCATAATTACAACCTGTTTACATCTGTCGCCATAGCAACTAGTAACAGACTCAAACCAAGGCAACGGCGACGTGGACACTGCTCAGCAACAGAAGCAGGAGATCCCAATGAGGGGGAGAAACAGGTGCGCTGGGACCTCAGGTTCCACCTGAGGGAGGGCAGCCTTTCGTCAGAGCACGAGAGCCCGTTCTCGCCTCCACAGCCGGGAGGACTGGTTTTAGTGACAGAAATATCTGTTACTTGTGAAGGCACACGGCATTCAATATATTCTTCTTGTTCCTTTTCCACGGAGCCGAACAAATTTTTCACAGAAAAGAGAGAGAAAATCTAATTATGTTGCCTCTCATGCAAGGCAATTCTAAACTTTCAAATATTTAGCTCTCCTTGAAACACCACAGCCTATGAACAGTGAACAATAATTAACCACAATAGTGACAGATTTTACATAGGCTAGGCTGCCTCCTGCACACCAAGCTTAGTGTTACATATACCATTACATTCACAAGGTTCTTCATTTGACCCAATAAGGAGGGAGTCAGTATGGAAGGGTGGTTCCCTAATCAGCCGTTGGATAAACCTGGTGAATTTACAGCTGCATGTTACTTGGGTATGGCTGAGAGTGATCAGAGAACAATAGGCTAGATATCTTGACTGACTTCACTCCACTGAGATTGAGGAATCTAAGTTACTAAAGCCATCACTCACCATTGCTACCAGCTGGACTTACATCCCATTAGGAGCACAGCATCACCATGACATGCTACCGTAAATTACAAGAAACCAATCTTCCCATCGAGTGAATCCCAGATGAGCCCTGAGCGCCCTCTGCCCCGCTCCCATCGCCCCCTTACCCAGCCTGTGCCGCCGGCTGCTCCTCCGCACCTGTCTCCGCTGGGTCCCCCCGGGGGCTCGGACCCGCTCCTGCCGAGTGCTGTCAGAAGGAACGGCACCCAAACAGAAAAGAGGGCGACAAGCAGGCGTTACATGCAGGCATCCGGAGTTAGTCTGACATTAGTCGCTCGCCCAGAGGGACTAGTTTCACAGCCAGTGAGAGACCAAACCTGGAGAGCGCAGGCCCTGCTCTGACCAGGCCTCACACTGTGGGCGCTGCTTCTGCCCATCACCGGGAGCCACTGGGCACGTTCGACTACAATGTGTTCACAAACACGTGTGTATCTGGCCATCATTACATACATACATTGTGAGAACATGAGAAAAGCAGGAAAGATTAATCCTTTTGAAAGGATTGTTTCAATAATTAGAAATGTCCGCATTCCACCTGGAAATGGAGTGTTCACAGTTTTGAGAAAACAATCCTATATAATAAAAGGCTAATATGCAAACTGACCAAACAGCAGAACAACTGGTCACTGAGGTGCACTGACCCCAGGGGGAAGAAGCTCAACACAGGAGCTGCCCTGGTGGTCAGCGCGCTGCTCAGCCAGAAGCCGGGCTCAGGCTGTCGAGCCCAGCGGTGGTGGCAGGAGCCCCCCTGCCTCGGCAGCAGCGCTAAGGGAGTCTGACTGCCAGCTTAGGCCGCTCCCCACCACACGGGAGACAGCCCCTGGGAGCCCCGGACTGCAAGAGGGCGCAGGTCGGGCTGAGGGGACCCCGCCACACACAAATTCCCTGCACCAGGTCTCTAGTAGTACATAAAAGTGCACGTAAGTGCAAACACTGCACGCAACAGCTGAGTTACATATTTTGAGTAAAGAGTACCTCCCTCACTCCTGAGTATCTTAATTTGGTGCACAGTTCATGCCATGAACATTATGTCGCTGCCTGACATGCCTAGTGACAGAATTTCAGTGGAAGGAAAGCTGCAGGCGCAGTGACTGCAGCCACAGGGTGATTTGGGAGATGAGGGCCTTGGTCGGAGGTGCTGACGAACACTTAGTGTCACTTCAGTAACCTGGGCCGTTACTTGTGGACTTACTCCTAACGGCCGTGGTGACGTCTGCGTGTCCGCGATGGTGTGGGGGCTCTCGGGGCTTCCCACGGGCCCTCTGGTGTCTTCTGCAGAGAAACGAGGAGGGAGAGAAAAGGGAGCGTTTGGAAAATGATCATTTCACTCCTATTACAGGGAAAAAATATAATGACAAATATTTTATGTCCTCCTTACAGAAACGTTTTTTAAAAACACTTGGAGACAACCCGTCTTGGCCAGGGATCTGAGATGACCTGGAGAGGCCGCTCGGGGGAGCAGCCCATGGAGAGCCCCAGGACCGTGTGAAGGAAGATGGCCGGCCGAGGAGAAGGCCCGAGCCAGAGGCCCAGGCAGTTCCCCAGACGGCAAAGGTCTGAGGACTTAGATTCAGGATAATGTGCTCAACTCTTCCTAAGGATTGAATTCTGCTTTAATTCTTTACTTTAAGTCATTATAAACATACCGTTTTAGACATAAGACTATGTAAGCTATCACAGATCAGCATTCGCCAAATGAACTGACCTTCATGGTCTGGTGGGAGTGCCTCCAGTTCCTCCTGGGTAAATGTTTCTCCTCTTAAAGAGTCCTCATCGATGATGTCTACAAATTGTTTATCAGTGTCATCTGTGTCAGAAATGCCCTCATCATCGGGTTCCTTCATTTCAGGGGCTTTGGCTTCTGTTGACATTCTGTTGACAAAAATGAAGCATCAATAACTGCAACTCACCCTTGGAAACAAAAAACTTGCTTTCAACTGATAGTTTATTGAAAAAGAACAAACCCAGTGTTTTATATTTATCAAGTCTTTTGTGTTTTCACCATGTCTGATCCACAGCAGTTGTTCAATGAATGACTGGGCATCCCGTTTCATTTACAAAAGATTAGAATAATGTCAACTCATGCCCAAACCAGTTTGGCTCAGTGGATAGAGCGTCGGCTTGCGGACTGGAAGGTCCTGGGTTCGATTCCAGTCAAGGGCATGCACCTTGCTTGCGGGCACATCCCCAGTAGGGGGTGTGCAGGAGGCAGCTGATGAATGTTTCTCTCTCATCAATGTTTCTGACTCTCTATCCTTCTCCCTTCCTCTTTGTAAAAATTCAATAAAATATATTTAAGAGAAAAAAAAAGAAAAAAAGAAAGTCAATTCTCTCAAGCTTGCCCTTCTCCCCAAGGATTCCCCTGTGCCCAGCTCCATGTTGGGGCCCAAGGACAGGTCCGCAGAGCACTGCTTCCGGGGAGAGGGGTGACAGCGGACACTGTTAGTGCAACAAGGCTCCTCAGCATGAGCCGCTCCTCTCAGAGGGAAGCGCTGGCGAACAGGGAGAGTTTGCCAGGAGTGCCTACAGCAGCCAGAAAGCGCTCACTCCCGGCTCTCCAGCGCCAGGACATGCCTCTTTCTCCAGCCCTCACCGGTGCGAGCCCCCCAAAGCCCGAGCAGCACCACACGAGGCGCCGTCTGGGGGAAAGGAGGCCGGTCAGCACTTACATCAGGGCGCTCCGCCGAGGCTCCCGGGGGCCATCCCCTCCGTCTGGCCCCCCTGGCCGGGACCCTGGCGCCGAGCAGGCGCCCTCACCGGGGGGTCCCACCGGAGACGCAGGGCGAGGAGGCTCCTGCACCTGGAACAAGCCGTTTGCAGCACTTAGATCTCGCCCTGACCCCGCGCGGCCCTATATGTACCCCTAACCCCCTCAGCACTGCTCCTGGTGGCGTTTCTCACTCTGTGGCAGGTGCAAGCGCACATTCCGGACGCTGAGGCAATGGCCATGTCCTATTCTGCCGGGAAAGCAGGCGGACTGCCTGAGCAGCGTCCACAGACCGGCCTGAGGAGTGCAGAGGGACCACCATGTTCCAGGCCACGGGGAACAGCATGCCCATGCAGAGCTGCTCCTCGTGGTTCTCTTGGCCATTACGAAGGCATTAGGAATTACCTCAAAATGGCACGGCAGCAAAAACACTGCAGCTAAAATGCAGTGGATGCACAGCTTTTATCGCTGACGGAGGTATTTAGTTAAGAAACACCTAGAAACACACATTTCCGTGACAACAAATACCACAGTATCTTATAAACTATCTTAGAACAACAAAAACTGATCTAAAAAAAACCCCATAACTCATAAAAAACAAAACGCACACACACTCTCACACCCTTCATCCTGGTACAAGCATGCCACACTCGCAGCCCACAGGCTGCACGCCTCATTTGTTCGGCCGGCGTTGGCCTGGGTCTGACGTGCCTGTCCTAGAGTACACTGTGCTCCATGGAGCAGCTTAGAACGGAGCCCAAGCAGAATCAGACCATGGAGGGGGCCAACCAAGACGGGGCCAGGCGGCTCCTGAGCCCCCTCCTCCCACGGACACCAAGTGCACCACTGCACACGCAACGCCGCTGGCATCGCCGCTGAGTGGAACCCAGGAGAGGGGGACAGCGGGGCACGTCCTACGAGTGGGCAAGGTCACCTCCAGCAACAGGTCGTGTAATACCCTTTCCATGGGCTCTTGTTTCCTTCTCTTTATCAACGGGCACAAAGCCCTCAAACCTCACAAAGCACTTGTACTCAATTACTCACTTCTAAGACTCAAAGGAACCACTTGAAGAAGGGAAAAAATTAGGTGGTTATCATCAGCTGGAGGCCCAGTGCATGAAATTCGTGCACAGGAGGGGGACGGAGTCCCTCAGCCTGGCCTGCGCCCTCTCAGTCCAGAGCCCTCGGGGCTGTCCGCCAACCCGGACCCCTCGGGCCTTACCGCCCGCCTGCTCGCCGCTCCTTAGCGCTGCCATGGAGGCCGGCCATGAGCCAGGCTTCCGGCCGAGCGGCACTACCCTGTGGGAGCGCCTCACTGACCACCAGGGGGCAGCTCCTGCATTGAGCGTCTGCCCCTGGTGGTCAGTGCGCATCATAGCAACCAGTCAATCTGCCGTTAGGTCAATTTGCATATTGGCTTTTATTATATTGGATGATCACATCACACTCGCTCTTGTCATTAGCTTAGTTTCTTAATAATCCTTCACTACCTGGGAGAATGGAAATACACTTTAATCTGAAACGAGCTTTCCCACCTGCCTGTGGTAACTGGAGCTCTTACCTGCACAAGGGCACTGGCTGCCGTGGCGCACTCTGCCTTGGACAGAGCAGCGCAGGGCTGTTCCGAGAGCCACAGTGATGTCAGAATGGCAGCCGCAGAGGCTGTCAGCCGGAGCAGGGGCCGGGCCTGGGGCGCAGCGAGGCTGGGGTCGCAGGGCAGCCTGCGGGCGGCCCAGCGCAGCATCCAGTCCAGCAGCGCCTGCAGCCCCGCGCTGCCCGCCCCCGGCGCGGGGGGGAGCTCGGCCTGGGGGCCGGCGTCAGCGCCCCCGATGGCTCTGAACACACACCTGCCTCTGCGCCTGCCCTCGGGCGCCCACGCACTCCGGCCGGCCACCCTGGGGATGCCAGGCCCGGGGGCGCCGGCGCCGTGCGCCCTGTAGAGGGCCCTGTGCTGCAGCCCGAACAGGCCGCTCGGGCCCCCGCTGTCCCTGAGGGTGCCCAGAAGGCTCTCCGGGGGCGGCCCTGGGGCTGGGGGCGCCGGGCCCTCCGGGTCCTCGGGCTCCGGGGCCAGCTGGAAGCAGGAGCCGGCCCGGAGCGCCCCCGGGGCGGGGTGCAGGCCGGCGAGCAGGGGGTCCAGCTCCCGCTCCCGCAGGCGCCCCGAGAAGCCGGGCAGCAGCGGGGGGCCGGGGTCCCCGCCCCGCAGCTCCCGCTCCAGCACGTAGCTCAGGAACAGCTCCAGGAACCGCAGGTACTCGTCGTCCTCCCGCTCGAATGCCCAGGCGCCCACCACGGGCAGCGCCCGCCCCTGCCCCCTCCGCGGGGCGCCCCCTCCCCGGCCCCCCGCGCTCCTGTCACCGCGGGGCTCAGCGGTCAGCGCTGCGTCCACGTGATCTGGAGCCTTCCTACAGCGAAACAAAATTAGAAAAGACAAAATTAAAGATCATTTCATCGGTAAAACTTACGTTAGAATTGACTATAAAAATTCTGTCTACTGATTAAGTCCTATTTTTTTTTTTTTTTAATGCTTCGAGTATCTCTCTTTCAAATGAGGGGGGTGGACTAGAGGATCTCTAAGTGTGCGCTGGAGCTGAACATCCTGAATCTGAAAAACACGAGCCTGACCGGGCAGCTGTCGGTCAGAGCTTCCGTCCACCAAAAGGTTGCAGGTTCCACTGCAGGTGAAGGCACGTGCCCAGGTTGCGGGTTGGATCCCAGGCAAGGGGTGTACAGGAGACAACCAATCGATGTTTCTCTGTCCCTTTCTCTCCCCCTCACCCCCTCTCTAAAAAAATTAAACATTTGGGTGAGGATAAAAATACAATTTTAAAAATAAAAAGTACCACACATTAATATAAAAGGAAAAATCTGTGTTAAGATGTAGTCATAGAAGTTTTCCTCAGAAAACACGAACGTGTCTCTGGGAGGAAAAGTGAACCCTCCAGCACAGCGGTCACCACCTTTCGAGATTGCTTCACTTAAGCAAGGGTTGGCTCAGGGACACACTCCTTCGGTGTGAGGAGGATCAGTTACATTTCAGATACCAGAACTATAAGAGGAAAAATCTGCCCGGCCAGTGTGGCTCAGTGGTTGAGTGTAGACCTACGAACCAGGAGGTCATGGCTCAATTCCTGGTTGGGGCACATGCCTGGGTTGTGGGCTCAATCCCCAGTGGGGCATGTAGGAGGCAGCCCATCAATCTCAATCTCTCTCTCTCTCTCTCTTTCTCTCTCCCTCCCTCTCTAAAATCAATAAAAATGTATTTAAAGGGAAATGTCTGCTTCAATAGGAGTACAGAAGTTTAAATGATAAGCAAGAATCTCTCAACAATTTAGGGGCAAGTTTCAAAAATGAAATGTGCCATTTCCTTCCCTGGAAACTGAAAAGTAAAAGTTAGCTAACCCCAAAGCCCTGAACTGTGTAAGTCTAGAGTAGGGGTGTCGAACTCAATCAGAGAAGGGGCCAAAATCTAAAATCCAGCCTAAATCGCGGGCCGAATGGTTTACTGAACAGTCATAAACTGTCATTGTGATGGAAACGCAGCAGAGTGCAGTGATGACAGCGCGGTGCGGGCCACATTGCAAGGCCTGGCGGGACGGATTTGGCCCGCGGGCCTTGTGTTTGACACATGTGGTCTAGAGATTACCAAAACAACTAAAACTCTTCTTTGAGCTCAGAATTCAGCCTACTCCTCTGGTTTTACACTTCCAGGTGACAGTTACGTCCTGTCTCAGTACCAGTCCTAACGGCTTAGCAAACAGTCTCAGTGGCTCCCCGGTCCTGTGAGGGCAGGGCTCGTGCCCAGGAGCCCGCCAAGCAGCGAGGTGGCTGGCACTGATGCTGGCTCACCGGTTGCAGGAAACATGGAGACGTTCCTTTCAAAGGGAGGGACCGCTGCTCTGAGGGCTCGGCCGTACCTGCGATGGAGATGCGTCCAGCTCAGAGCCTCCGAGAGCGTGTCGGCCGCGCTGTGGCCGGGGGACGTGCCCAGGTCTGTGAGTGTGCTCCCGCTCGGGCTCGTCCCCAGGGAGCACCCCTCGAACCCGGGACCTTCGGTGGGCTTGTCCTCCGCGGGCTCCCAGACGTGGGTCTCGAAGGGCCCGATGTTCCTCTGCACGCGTCGGAGGGCCTTGGCCCTCACTCTGTGGATGGAGCGCATGGCCACAGACAGGGGCTCCTCGCTGAGGGCGCCTGGGAGAGAGAGGGCCAGGGCCGCTCAGGAAGGCCGATTCGGGTCCCTCCCGAGGACACAGAGCCGCCGCCAAGGACGGCCATTCCCCTCCCCGACAGGCCTGCGTTGGATTCGTGAGGAAGCCCCAGTGCGCACGCCCTGCGGGAGCCGCAGAAGGCCACTGAGAGAGAGGACCCTGCCCGGCCGGCGTGCCCGGAGGCTGAGCACCAACCCAGGAACCAGGGGGTTTGATTCCGGTTGAGGGCACAGGCCCGGTGGCTGACTCGATCCCCAGTGTGGGGGGTGCAGGAGGCAGCCGATCAATGACTCGCTTTCATCACTGATGTTTCTATCAGTCTCTCTCTCTCCCTTCCTCTCTCTGAAATCAATAAAAATATATAAGAAAAGAGAAGTCATAAATGCAATGTAAGGATAGGAATACAGCAATGTGCAATCGTAAGACATAACTAAACCTAAATACTAGATTAGCTCTAAAAATGTGGGTAATTGGAATTCTTTTAACATTTCCACATCAGGGTCAGTTCCACCGAACTCTACACTTAAAATGGCGAACGTCAGTACTACGTATGTTTACCACAATAAAAAAATAATTTCCACAAGACCATCTTGAATGCATAGGATAAAACTAGAGGAAGCATAAATAACCATAAAGGAAAAGAATACTAGTTTTCAATAAAATATCCACATTATGAAAAGCACTATATGCTCATTTTATAGAACTTATCTTATTTAATCCGCTTTCCAGACACATTCTTAGACCCGAATCAAGATAGTAATTTTGCAAAAAGAAAATGAGGCTCGGAGAGACTGAGCGCCTCGCCCGGTCCCAGGCTGGTCACTAAGGGACAGAGCCACGCGGGAGCGGCTCCTTCTGCTCCCCGCGGACCCGGTGCTGGCGGGAAGGCCCGTCCCGGGAGGAGAGGACACGGGGGAACGGTGCTTTGCAGACAAACCAGAGCCCCCGCAGCCTTCCCAGCGACACAGAGAAGCGAACGGCGGTACCTTTCACGACGCAGGCGCTGAGCCTCTGCCGGAGAGCGTGGTATTTCTCTCTTAAAGGAACCCTTACGTCCTCAGGATTGGGAAATGCTCTCACGAAAATGTCTGCGACCTTAGGAGAAATGGAAAAGCCAGTTTTAGGAGCAACATCATTCTTAATACAAGGAAAATCCCTCAGAGTTTCCGACCCTGGTTTGGTTCACCTACCCTCACATTACCTGTCTGATCGGCGGCAGGTCTCCAATGAGGCTCAAAATCAGGTCCTGAATCAGCTCCTCGGCGTTGGAAAACCGGGCGAAGGGCAGCATCCTGCACGCCCACTCGGCCGCCCCCAGGCAGTGCTCCACCGCGCAGGGGTCCAACTCCACGGAGAGGTCCTAAACGGACATTGGAAAAAACGGGGTTCCTTCCACTCCAGACGGCGGGCAGGATAAAGCCAAAAGAAAGTTTTGCTCCAAACAGTAAAGCCTATCAAGCACCGGGTTTGCAGCAAAGTAACGCCCGTTCACCTCTCTTCCTCTCTGGCGGGTAAGTGCCTGCTTCCCCTGCGCGCGCTCGCGGGCCTTCTGGAACAGCCGGCAGCGGACGGACAGCTGGTCCCGGACGTGCAGCATCCAGCACAGCGCACACAGCTCCCGGAAGCACCCTGGTCAGGGGCACAAGAGGCCGTGTGAGGCGGACACCGAGGGAGCGACGTCAGCTCTCGCTGCGTGTATCCCTCCCCCCAGAATAAATGTATTCCCTTGATTATAAAGGAAACATGTACTCATTATCAACACCTTACATAAAAGTCACGGAGAACCTTCCCGAGTTTTTATGTATATTATTATTCTAGAATAGTTCATGCATGTCCGTTGCATGAAAGTATTAAAATCACCATTAAAGAATAAATAACTTACTCTACCTTTTACTGGTAGTTACTTGCTTTAAGCTCAATAGTATATGGTAGATACTATTTAAGTCAATGCATTCATCTGTACTTAATGCTAAATAGTTTATTTGGAAAATCACTGATAGGCAATGAAGTTTAAAAATTTTCAATACTAAAACATAATTTCCAATATTATGAATATCCTTTATTAAAACCAATACCAGTACATGAAGACATATAAAGCCCTACTATGCAGTTTTCTCTTGTCTTCACTTAACGTATCTTGGATTGCTCTCATGGTGGTAACACACTGTTGTACAGAAACGGCCCCAATCAGGTACAAAGCAGATCCTTCATTAACACTAAGCAGGCAGCCCCTCCGGGACAAACCTATTGCTGCGAGGGACGCCCCGTCCAGCTGGCCGTCGCCCGCGGCTCCCGGCCGGAAGAAGGCCACGCCGCCCCGGCAGTGCTGCAGCAGCCTCTGCGGGAAGGGGCTCAGGGCGGGGAGGGACCCTTTCGCTCGAATCTGAAAGTGAAGGAGGACAGGTCACTGCCAGCGCCTGCATCATGTCTGAGGACACTGGAAAGCTTCAGCAGCCGGTGCAGACAGACCATGGAGCGTGGAAAACCCGGCCTGGGTCCCACACTACCCCTGAAGCCAGCCTCGGCGCTCTCAAACTGCTCACACGTTTACTTAAAAGGCTCAATCCCAAAAGAGAACAAAAGGTTTAATCACGTTATCCTGTCACTCAGTTATGTCCGTACAAAAAGAACTTTGGGCTTTTTGTCCTTTCTCCAGAGGCATGATAAAGCGATTAAAGCACCTAACTTTCACCTAAAATAACCTACTATAATATGTACACCAGTCGGCATGACTTAGTGGCTGAGCCTCGACCTGTGAGCCAGGCGGTCACGGTTCGATCCCAACTGGGGCGCCTGCCCAGGTTGCGTGCTCAGTCCCGTTTCCACTCAGTTCCCCGTTATCAGCCGCTCCCAGCGTTACAGTGCATTGGTGATCAATGAACCAATATTTTGATACATTAACTAAAGACCATACTTTATTCAGAATTCCATACTTTTTAGTAAACATACAAAATAATCCACACTTTTGGGATTATTTTTGGGACAAAATACAGGATGAGGACAAACCTGTCTCTTTAAAGAGTGACTAATTTTCAAGAACAACTTGATAAGCCACGTCTCGGAGCCTAAGGGGTCCGTCTCCATAAAGCAGGAGGTGTGATGCTTGTTGTTAATGGAATCCAGAGCCAATGAGAAGCCCTGGGGCTCATAACACTGATTTCCACATCCACAGAGAGGCTGCGGCCTGCAGGGGACCTGCAGCTGGGCCAGGGCATCCGGGCAGGCGTCCCCCGGCTCAGGTCAGGCAGGAACGCAGTGGCTGGGGGGACCACGGAGCAGAGACAGAACCAGAAGCTCCCTCGCTCTCTGATCCCACCCCCAGAACATCTGCTATATGCTCTCAGGCAGACATCGGAGAAAACCATGAACTGAGTTTAAATTCCCAGTGACTGGAGGCCCCCCGGGCAGAGGATGTAACTGAAATTAACTGATTATATTATACTTTGTTTATTTAATATATTTTTTACTTGATTTCAGAGAGGAAGAGAGAGGGAGACAGAGAGCAAACATCAGTGATGAGAGAGAATCACTGATCAGCTGCCTCCTGCATGCCCCGGACTAGGGATTGAGCCTGCAACCCGGGCACATGCCCTGACCGGGTATCGATCCGAAACATCCCGGTTCATAGGTTGATGCTCAACCACTGAACCACACTGGCCGGGCCACATTAGACTTTCCATTGCCAGGCAGGATGGGACTCACAGAGCCCGTATCATTCAGCGAGGTTCACTGTGGGAAGTCTGACTAGGGATTGACAGGCAGGACACCATGGGAACATGGCCCATCACAATCCTAAGGAAGGCTGCCTGTTTACGTGGCTTACAGCACGTACCTCCTGCATGGCCCTCCGGGCCCACCCCCCCTTCCCCATGGCCCTCCTGACCCCCCCGCCTTCCCCATGACCCTCCTGCCCCCCCCACCCGCCTTCCCCATCACCTTCCGGACACCTCCTCCCCCCGCCTTCCCCATGGCCCTCCCGGCCCCCCGCCTACCTTCCCCATGACCTTCCGGGCCCACCGCAGCTGCAGGATGTACCACTGCGCGGCCGGGAAGGAGCAGCGCGCGGCGCGGAGGAGCAGCAGCAGGCGCTGCAGGATCCCGGACACCTTCTGGCGGTTCTCCTTCTCGGCTCTCACCGGGAGGTCGTCAGCGTCCTCCTGGGAAAACACAATCACACTCCGGCCAGTAAGGCGGAAACGTCTCAAGCTGACGTGCAAGTAGAGGCAGCGCCTCGGGACCTGGAGATTTTATAAAGAGAGTGTTGAGTCCTGGCCTGAGATTTCACTGGAGCGATGGCTGGTGTCCAGGACACAGTCCCTCCCCTCGAACAATGGGAGGGTAACTGGACCCGAACCCCAGGTCTTCCCCACGACAGGTACCTCTCCGACCCCACCCCCACGGCGGACGGTGCGGAGCTCGGCTCCCGGAGAAGGCGAGGCCTCCACGTCCGCCAGTCCTTCTCAGATCGCATCACCTCCTGGGGAAGCCCTCCCTCCGAGCTGCTCAGACCCGCTGTATCCACCGATTCATTCCGTACGATTCCCCATGCTTCCCACTGCACGCTGGAAGGAGGGCGTACCTGGCTGAGAAGGGCCGGCTGGGGGCAGTAGAGCGGCGGGGCGGGCAGGTACAGGCCGCCGGGCACCAGGCCCCAGAGCCGCCGGCTGCAGTCCTGGGCGGAGCGGACCAGGAGCGGCCAGGCCTCGGAGAGCACGTCCGCCTGCGCCATGGCCGCGGCCGTCAGCACCTCCCGCACGGCGCCCAGCAGCAGCTGCGCGTCCTCCTCCTCGATGGGGTCTGCGCGCGCGGGAGGGACAGTCAGAACGCGGTCCTCCTGCCCACTCCGCCTTACAGGGTAACATCTCACCACAATAACCCATCAGCTGGCGTACAAGCTTCCAGACAGAAATCAATGGCCATTCTGTTCCTTTAAGGTTATAGGCAATCACGGCACAAGCACTTTTCCCAAAATTAGACATTGTAGTCGTAACAAATAAAAATGTTTTGGAAGTATAGTCCTGATTAAAAAAAAAAGAAAAAGTATCAAGGAAGATAGCCAAATAAAATAAAACACTGTGTGAAGGCAACAGGAGAGTAATAGTGATTTTTAATTTTTTTTCTTATTATCCTTCATGGCACTACTAACCGGTTTGGCTCAGTGAATAGAGCATGGGCTTGGGGACTGAAAGGTCCCAGGTTCGATTCCGGTCAAGGGCATGTACCTTGGTTGCGGCCATATCCCTAGTAGGGGGTGTGCAAGAGGCAGCTGATCGATGACTCTCATCGATGTTTCTAACTCTCTATCTCTCTCCCTTCTTCTCTGTACAAATTAATAAAAATATATATATTTTTTAAAATGACTTCAACTACGGTCAGCATGCTGTAAGGCCTAGCACACAGTATGAGAGCACTCCGGTGCCAGGCTGGTGTGACCCGGTGGCTGAGTGTCATCCCAGGCACCAAGAGTTCCAGGTTCAATTCCCGGTCAGGGCACTGGCTACAACCCGCAGGGGAAGTCAGTGAGTGTTTCTCTCTCTCTTCTCTCCTGTTCTCTCTCAAAAATCAATAAAAACATATTTCTAAAAAGTTTATTTTATTTTTTTTAAAAACAACAATGCTTGCCTGGCTGGTGTGCCTCAGTGGTTGAGCCTCAGCCTATGAACCAGGTCAGGGTGCAATTCTGGTCAGGGCACATGAACAAGTTGTGGGCTTGATCCCCCATGTGGGGTGTGCAGGAGGCAGCAGATCAATGATTCTCTCATCATTGGTATTTCTATCTCTCTCTCCCTCTTCTTCCTTTCTGAAATCAATATATATATTCCGTGCAGGGGCGGAATATTTTTAACATGTAGTACACTTTAATTTTCAATAAGTTTACTTCAAAGTGTTAGCATACTTGTAGGTATTACCAGCTTTTTAAAATACCACAAGGCTCATTAACTAACCAGCTCTGCCTGCCAGGCCCGTGTGGTGACGCACCTGTAAACTGCTTGTATTTTGAGCCCATTTCTCTCTTTGCTTCCGAAGAGGCCGGCTGACCTAAAAGACACCGGAGTTTCTCCTGGAAAATCCGGGCGGGAGTCATGTTGGACGGCAGATCCTGGCCCTTTTTCTTGAACCTGAAATCACATCAAATCAGGAGAAATGACTTCAAATTTTAAAAAAAGCAAATATTCACACACCGAGAACTACACATGAAGTTTACAGTGAAATTCATTTTCATTATTCCTCCTGCATCTAAGAAGGAATGTTATAGGAAACTCTGCCTAAGGAGGGGACCCGGGCTCTTCACAGCGAGGGCGCTAGAACACCCACCTCATGCCCCCCCCCACATCCCCACGTCACCACACACACACACACACACACACACACACACACCCCCGCTGCCCTGCGGACAGCTCTGCCCAACCGGACAGACTGGCCTGGCCAAAGGCCTCCGCTTGTGTCCGGAAAGTTCTCTCTCCCTGTAGCTACTCCAATTGCCCAAATCCCATCTTCCCTTCCATGCCCATCTTCAGTGGCACCTCCCACACGGGCATTTCCTTTCCCCACCCCACCCCCCGGGTCCTGCCCTCCCAGCACCACGGCCTGTTCCCACCAGGGCATGTAAACCAGAATGGCGTGCCCTGATTCCTACAAACTAGAAAGGCTTAAGCATAGGAGCCAGGCACCATTTGCTTTATATCCACGAATACACCTGGCACAGAGTGTGCACAGAGGTTACTTAGTAAGGAAATACATGTTTAGTCACTGCCTTGAAAAATATAGAAGACACAGCAACCCCATCACATACAGAAAAGTTAACAGAGACCGATTTGACTAGCTCAAACTCAAATCCGGGACAATCTCTCCCAACATCTATGAGCTCTTTGAGGGCATTACTAACAAATTAATGCTGCAAAGAAGCATTTTAATACAGATGAGCAGGCCCCTGAGCTGCCCACTAGCACAGCACCTGCTAGCTGCGCGCAGCGACTTAGATTTCACTTGGGTGGGAAGTTCAGTTCTCACTGGCCAGGGCGCCCTGCCCGGCGGCTGGACAGACACCCTCACCGGCAGCCCCGGGCCGAGGCGGAGGGACGTCTGATGATGGGTCAGAGGGGGGAGAGGCCCTGCAGCGACACCCACCCCCCGGTCTGGGGCCCGCGCACCTGGGGTAGCCGCGGCCCCGGCCGCCCAGCTGGCAGGCCACGCCGAGGGCCACGGCCGTCTTCCAGTCCCCGAGCTCCCGCGCCAGCCACACGGCCTCGGGGGCCAGGCCGCCCAGCAGCAGCAGCTCCAGCGCGTAGTCCGCCGTCCACACTTCGCCCAGGCCCTGCTCCCGGACGGCCCGGGCCACCGCCGCGCGCTGCAGGGGGAGGCGCCGCGGGCCCGGCCCTGCAGGGAGAGGACAGTCACCACCCGCACGGCACTTCCCGCACACACCCCGGGAGATCATACTACACGGCTAACACATACTCCACTCCCCCGGCACTTCCCGCACACACCCCGGGAGATCATACTACACGGCTAACACATACTCCACCCGCACGGCACTTCCCGCACACACCCCGGGAGACCACACACGGCTAACACACACCCCGGGAGACCACACACACGGCTAACACATACTCCACTCCCACGGCACTTCCCGCACACACCCCGGGAGACCACACACGGCTAACACACACCCCGGGAGACCACACACATGGCTAACACATACTCCACTCCCACGGCACTTCCCGCACACAGCCCGGGAGATCATACTACATGGCTAACACATACTCCACTCCCCCGGCACTTCCCGCACACACCCCGGGAGATCATACTACATGGCTAACACATACTCCACTCCCCCGGCACTTCCCGCACACACCCCGGGAGACCACACACACGGCTAACACATACTCCACTCCCACGGCACTTTCCGCACACGCCCCGGGAGACCACACACACGGCTAACACACACCCCGGGAGATCATACTACACGGCTAACACATACTCCACTCCCACGGCACTTCCCGCACACACCCCGGGAGACCACACACACGGCTAACACATACTCCACTCAGGAGGCCTCGAGCTGAGGGAGGCATCAGTGGGGGGAGCGGTGCCAGCGTTAAGGGAACAGAACCGGCAGCGACAGGCCAGGGAGGCAGAGAGTGACCACACAGTCAGGTGGACACAGGAAAGCGCCTGTTCACACCAGCAGGCCGAGGGCCGTTTGTGCAGGTCGGTGCCGCATCACAGTGCACAGCCGACTCCTGCTTTAACTAGGTGTGAACTCTGGAGGCACACACGGAGGTTTCCCTGACCTCGTACTGCTCCTGTCATGCAAAAAAAACACAGCAAAATACCTCAACTGACTGCAGGCCGCACTGGAGCACACTCAGTGTTCCACGTGTCAGTGTTTTTAAGGAAATTGAAAAGTGCAGTTTTCAATTTGTAAATTACAGGCCCGTCCCCCGGCTTTCTGTACTCCCCTCACCGAAGTAACTGGAATCAACAACATGAAAATACGATGACAGGACTGTTATTTTTGTAAAAATACATATTGCTGAGATTTTCATTTACTCCCTCAAAAGAAAATGGCAAAGGGGAGCAGTTGACCGATGTTTCTCTCTCACATCACTGTTTCTCTCTTTCCCTTTTCCCTTCCTCTCTCTGAAAGCAATAAAAAAATATTTTTTCAGGTTAACTATCCAAGTAAAATTACATTCTAAATTAGCATACCAAAATCTATTTAATTTTTATAGAAATGAAGGTGAAATTACTTTGACTTTTAAAAATGAAAACTTTATAAACACCAGCTTATCCAAAACTTGTGATTTAAAAAAATCCATATTCAAAAGGCACAGACCCAAGCAATGGTCTTTCTCAGACTCTATCCCTTCCCACGTGGGCCCTGAGCGGCCGGGGGCCAGGCCCTGAGCTGACGGATCACCTCCACGGAGTGGATCCCCGCGGAGTGCTGTGTGAACATCAGAGCAGCGAAGGTGGGGACACGCTTACCTGCTTCCCTGTGCAGGGGCGGCAGGACGTCCACATGGTGCGGGGGCAGGACGCAGAGCCGCCGGTTGGTGAAATAGGCGGCCATGAACCGGGCCATGGACTGGACGACCCTCCGCACGGCCTCGGGGTGTGCAGGCCAGGGCAGTCCCAGCGCGGGAGCTGAGGGACACAGCGAGCGAGCAGAGGAGACTGGTCAGACCGTCACCAAGTGTACCTACGCTCCAGCATTACCCGGGAGGGAACTCGTAACTAGATGAGCACTCAGGGCCGGTACAAGTAAATTTATGATAGGCATCTAGGCTTCTGAAGACCACAGAACACACATAATTGGCCCCTACGTGTGAGCCCGTACACTTAGGAACTTGTTGTGACTTGAAGTTACTAGTTTTATCTAATAACATGGAGGACCCAAGCAAAGCAATCCAGCCATAATGCACTTGCCAGGCCAGCATTAGCCCTAACCGGCAGGACCACCACCGTTTGTGCATAAGCAATCTCACATCTAAACCTGTAAGCACACGGCAACACGGAGAAAGACACCGGTTTCTGAAAAACGTACCCGAACTCTCCCCATTGTCCCTCACGGGCAGGCGGGACCATCGCAGCAGTTCTCGCACCAGCTGGTCGCACAGCCCCTGGGCATCGTTTAAGTTATAGCTGTACAGGTGGCAGTACAAAAGGGACAGGTAGTAGCGCATCTGAAGAAAGCAGGTCCTTCTTCCTCCTAAACCAGAGAGAATTAAGCTCATGTTAGAAACCTTAGCAAGGCCGGGTTCTTGGCCTGGGTGCGGGGCAGGCAGACACCCTGGGGTGGTCCGTTGATGAAATCCATGAAGCTGTATTCTCTCGTTATGTGAACCTTTCTGTATTTGTTTTATCCTATATAATAAAAGGCTAATAAGCAAATCAACCAAACAGCAGAACGACCGGCCGCTATGCCATGCACTGACCACCAGGGGGCAGCTGTTCAACGCAGGGAGCGCTGCTCAGCCAGAAGCCGGGCTCAGGGTTGGTGAGCACAGCAGAGGTGGCGGGGGAGGACATCTCCTGAGGGCTCCCAGACTGCAAGAGGGCGCAGGCTGGCCTAGGGGATCCTCCTCCCCCACCGAGCGCACAAATTTCATGCACTGGGCCTTTAGTATTTCAATAAAAGATTCTTTAAATTCTTTAAGACAGCAGGTGAGCAATGCATTGTTCTTTTTCACTTTAAGTTCTGAAGAATTTTCTTTCACGAAGCCCACATGACTAAGATTTTATCCAGAGGGAGCTGCAATCTCATTTTCTCAGCACCAAGGCTAACCTGTCTCCAGCACACGTGGTCTGAAACGAAGGGAAGAGTCTGAGCCTTCTCCCCCCGCCGCCATGACCAAGAAACCAGACACACTCTGGAGTATGCTAACATTCATTCCTACCAATGCTATGGGAATATTATTTTTTAATACATTTTTATTGATTTCAGAGAGAAAAAGAGAGGGAAAGAGAAACATCAGTGATGAGAGGGAATCATTGACCGGCTGTCTCCTGCACACCCCCTGCTAGGAATGGAGCCAGCAATCCAGGCTTGTGCCTTTGATTGGACTTGAACCTGGGATCCTTCAGTCCGCAGGCCGATGCTCTATCCACTGAGCCAACCCAGCCAGGGCACGGATATTATTTTTAATAATCCCCTTACCGTTCTCCTGGGTTTCCTGCAGAGCTTTCCTCCACAGTTCAACAGCCTTTTCATAGGATCCCAACAGGAAACACTCTTCCCCTGCAAGATTTTTAACCAATGATTAGTTAGAGTTAATTATATTACTTTATAAAAAAAAGTATATAGCTCAGCCAGAAATTTTGAAAAACAAGTCACTGTGCCCAGTTAGCACAACCAAAGCCCCGTTGACTGTTTTGCTTATTTACGGGTGAGGAAGGAGGGTAAGACACTGACCGCTGATGGGCTTGAGCGGTAAGGTCCGGCCCAGGCAGGCTCCGGCCGCCTGCAGGCGGGCCTGGATGTGACACAGCAGGGACCGGACGGCAGCGGCTTCCTGGGCCGCCTCTGCAGGGAGCGGCCGGTCGCCTTCGGGAACGCTCCGACTTAGCTGTGCCTGATACCATAGCGTCTTCTTATACAGCACGCGCCACAGACACACCAGCCTGCACACAGATTCGGCATCATCAACCCAAGTTCCAGACGAGGGTGGTCAGAGTCAGTATAGCCTCCTGGTCAGCCTTTCTTTGTGGCCTGTGTTCTTCACTGACATAACAACACACACACACACACACACACACACACACACCACACACACTGACATAACTACACACACACTCACTGACATAACTACACACACACACACACACACACACACCACACACACACACACACCACACTGACATAACAACACACACACACACACACACACACACACCACACACACACACCACACACACACACACACACACACACTGACATAACAACACACACACACACACACACTGACATAACAACACACACACACACACACACACACACTCACTGACATAACCACACACACACTCACACACACACACACACACACACACTGACATAACTACACACACACTCACTGACATAACTACACACACACACACACACACACTCACTGACATAACTACACACAAACTCACTGACATAACTACACACACACACACACACACTCACTGACATAACACACACACACACACACCACACACACACACACACTCACTGACATAACAACACACACACACTGACATAACTACACACACTCACACACACACACACTCACTGACATAACAACACACACACTCACTGACATAACTACATACACACACTCACTGACATAACTACACACACACACACACACTCACTGACATAACAATACACACACACTGACATAACTACACACACACACACACACACACACACACTCACTGACATAACACACACACTCACTGACATAACTACACACACACACTCACTGACATAGCCACACACACACTCTCACTGACATAACCACACACACACACACACACACACACACACACACACTCACTCACTGACATAACCACACACACACACGAATGGATCAGATTTAAATACAGCACAAAACCCACTGACCCAAACCATGCAGAATGCATTTTTAAAATCCTCCCGAGCACTTTATGTTCCTGTGGTCCTGTTCCCCTCGTGCTTCCCTAAACCACAATCTCTCAACACTACCTGGTTGCTCAAAGCCAATAAAATGTGTGTGGAATAGCATTTGGCATAAATGCTAAAATACTCTCAGATACAATCAAACCTATAAGGCTGAGTGCTGATGGACACAAGGTTTCTTTTATGCGTGATAAAAATATTCTGGAATTAGCGCTAATATTTCTATGACCTTGTGACTATCATAAAAAAAAATCACTTAACTGTAAGCTTTAAAATGGTGAGATGTACAGTATGGGAACGACAGCTCAGTTTTTTAAAAAGCAAGAAATCTAACCTGCTGGTGGTAGCCTGCCATTGCAGCCGCCATACCTGCGTCCTGCCTGCTGAATGAGGTTTGCTCCTGGAGGACGGGTCCAGCCGTCCCGGGAAGCGCTGTCTTGAAAGGTTTGGAAAAGGGGAACCACCAGGGAGTCCTGACGGGCTGCTCCACTCCCACCAGCCGTGGCCGAGACCTCGGGCTGAAGGTGGTCTGCGCCGTCTAGGCGATCGGCCACCATCCCGAGCAGCTGGAAGCAGGCGGCCAGCCTCCGGGAGCGGGAGCGGCGGCGGCCCCGGGGCCGGGCCAGCAGGAGCTGCAGCGCGCGGGCCGTGAGCGCCAGCAGCGGCCGCACGGCCGGCCGGCCCCGCGGGTCCCAGGGCGGGGCGCACAGGCACTGCCCCAGGAGCTGCAGGACACAGCGCACCCACGCCGGGTGCCCGGGGCTCCTGCCTAAGGAGAGATCCAGCGCTGGGAGAGGACGCTTGATAAACTGAAGGATGTGGAGAAAGTAGGTAAAGCAAACGACTGTGTAGTTCAGCATGATGCTCTTCTCCGGCACGTGTTTGGAAACCCCCACGGTCCAGGCGGCGAGGAGGTTTCTGTGGACCGAGCGCAGGTCCGAGACCATTCGGTCCGCCTCCGCGGCGGGCTCCCCCGCACGCATCGTGTCGAACATAGACGCAAACTCCAGGCTCCCCTCCTCGGCGCCCCTGAGCGATGGATCCTTGTTTTCGTCCCAGAGAGAGAGCAGGTTGTTTGGAAAGTGTGTGCTTTCGTTCGGGTCTTCTGCTTCAAAATCCTAAAACACGAGTGGAAAAAAGGATGCTTAATGCCACTCAGCTCTCTGTAAGCAGAATCCCTTGGTGTTCTCACAGTTCTCTTCCCTTTTGCAAGGGCAAGACCGAATACTCCTGGGACTAAGGTCCACACGTCACTGCTGGAAGGGAGAAAAGCCTGCTGCCGAGTACCTGCAACTCCCCCGTCTCTTCTTCCTGCAGGAATCGGGGGACGGGCGGGTCTGCTGGCCGCTGGCTTCCTTGGCGCTTTAACAGGCTGGACCTCAGGGAGCCCAGAGACCGCAGGTTCAGCCCTCTGCCTCCGGGCTGCAGGAGAAAAGGTTCCCGAGAGCAAAGCTTCACCCTCCATCCCGCCTACAGAACTACACATGCTACAGGCACCGGCTACAGGAGTGAGAAAAATATTCTTATATTTCCAGTAGGACATGACCTCACTCATCAAGGGGAAATGGTGAACAACACAGACTGATGAACAAGAACAGACCCAGAGATAAGGAGCCAGGGGTCCAACTGTTGGGCCTCAGAGGGAGGGTGGGGATAAAAGGGAGAGATCAACCTAAGGACTTATGTGCACACATATGAGCCTAACCAGTGGTCAAGGACAATAGGGGGGTGGGGGCAGGAGTGGGGGGGATTGGAATGGGGGCTTGAGGACAAATATGTGATACCTTAATCAATAAAGGAATTAATAAAATATATATATTCTGGAATTAGTGCTAATAGCTGTAATTATTCCCATCCGGGCAGAAGCCAGCCCCGGCTGCCCACGTCCGCTCCCTCGGACAGCGCTACCTCGCACAGCGCCAGGCCGCGGTACGCCCTCTCCAGCCGCCGGGCGGCGTCCAGCAGCAGCGACCGCAGCAGCGCCGAGGGGGACAGGCCATCGAGGAAGCGGAGGGTGGTGACCATGTAGCCGTCAGAGGCGACGAGGTAGGGCAGCCGGGAGTGGGTCTTCACGGAAAACCTCTGTCGCATCGGGTCGCTGGCCGACGCCGACGAGTCCGCAGAAGGAGCCGAGTCTTGAAATGTGCCCTGCGGTGGTCTAGCAGGCAAACACCGCAATTCAGAGATCAGTAAGAGAAAACGTACAGAAAACGATCATTATTCCCAAGAAACAGCAAAACAGCCACTGACTGTTACAGAATGACGAAAACGCAAGCAAATGAAACACAAAAATTGTTAATGTGTAATATCTGCACGGAAAACATAAGCGATTCCTATAACAGAGGTTTATGTGTTTTTTAATCTTAATTGTAGTAATTATTTTGTTTCTAAAAGCAAAATACAAACTGTTTCAGAAAAGAATTAATAGTTTATTTTTATCGTTAAAAAGATAAACATTTAGCCCTAACTGGTTTGGCCCAGTGAATAGAGTGTCCGCCTGCAGACTGAAGGGTCCCAGGTTCGATTCCAGGCAAGGGCATGTACTTTAGTTACAGGCACATCCCCAGTAGGGAGTGTTCAGGAGGCAGCTGATCGATGATGTTTCTCTCTCATCGATGTTTCCAGCTCTCTATCCCTCTCCCTTCCTCTCTATAAAAAAATTAATAATATATGAAAAAATTTGAATATTTAACTTTGCTTCTTACCATATACTTAAATTATATTTGTAAGGATATAATTATGAGTGTCTCTCTCACATCGATGTCTATCTCTCTCTCTCACACTCTGGCTCTCCTTTTCTCTCTCTCCCTCTCTCCTCTCCTTCATTCTCTCCCTTCCACTTTCTAAAAATCAATGGAAAAACTATCCTTGGGTGAGGATTAACAAAATAATAAACACATAAACAAATAAAGCAATAGTTTTTGTTAAATATAATTGAGAACACACTCTTCCTCTGTGAAGCAAGGGGAGTGAATTAATTTCAAATGCCTTTCCCAGTTTTTTATCTTCCTTCACTTAGACCAATTCTCATTTCACAGCAGAAGAAACGGAGGCTCAAAGAATAACTTACCCAAAATCACCCAATGAATAAGTAGAAGAACCACAATTAAAAAAAAAAAAAAAGTTACATGTGGGTAACTTCTAAAGTCTTCTATTTCCAACAATTTTTTTCCAATTGAAAAAAAAGTATATAAATGTGTCAAGTTATATTGCTATAAATTTACCTCGACAAGGGGAGGTCTGGTGCGGGATGGTGGAGGGAAGCAAGGGAGGGAGGGGGACTCCTGCAATATTGTCAACATTAAAAAAGTTTTTTAATAAAAATAAAATGTAAAACAATAAAGCAAAGGACATACTTTAACTTTTATGCCAAAGAAAATAAAAATTTTATTGCTACTGAATCCTTAAATAACTTATACTTACATAGTCACAATGTCAAATTCTCACCAGGATTAAGCCACAAAAAGAAACAGAAAAAAACTATAAATAAGAAACATATCAAGATGCCACACTCAAAGAAAAAATAAGACAATTTAAAAAATAAAATGATAAAAACAAGACAGTACAGGAATAACAAGAGAGAAAACTGTAAACAAATTCAAACCACGGAAACGTCTTACCGGTATGTGATGAGTGGGTGGAGGGGAATAAACTCAGCCGGCCCAAATTCCACCGAGCAGCCATGCGTGCTCAATGTGAGCAGTTCCCCTTGGCACGTCAGCAAGACCAGGGAGCCACGCTTCAGCATGCAGGCCAGAAAAAGGCTGTCATGAGTCCAGCTGATGTCGCCTACCCAGTAGGACCTGGAAGGAGCAGACAGTGTGTTCAGAAAGGATTCCAGACAATGTGCTTGGCCATTTCGACAGCCAAGTGGAGGTGAAACGCTTCAAAAAACAGGGGCAGCCGACACCGGTGTGACTCAGTGCATAGAGTGTCGGCCTGCGGACTGAAGGGTCCCAGGTTCGATTCGATTCAAGGGCATGTATCTTGGTTGCGGGCACATCTCCTGTGTGTGTGTGTGGGGGGGGGGGGGTGTGTGTGCAGGAAGCAGCTGATCCATGTTTTCTAACTCTCTATTCCACTCCCTTCCTCTCTGTAAAAAAAATCAATATATATATATTTTTTAATTTATTTTTTTTAAAAAGGGGGCAAAAGAGGCCGGGACCGGTTTGGCTCAGTGGATAGAGCATCGGCTTGGGGACTGAAAGGTCCCGGGTTGGATTCCGGTCAAGGGCATGTACCTTGGTTGCGGGCATATCCCCAGTGGGGGGTGTGCAAGAGGCAGCTGATCGATGATTCTCTCTCATCGATGTTTCTAACTCTCTATCTTTCTCCCTTTCTCTCTGTATAAAATCAATAAAATATATTTAAAAAAGGGGGGGGGGGGCAAAAGAATGGAGAGCAGTCCTAGCTTGTGTGGCTAAGTGGATAGAGCATTGGCCTGCAAATGAAAGGGTCCCAGGTTCAATTCGAGTCAAAAGCACATGTCTGGGCTGCAGGCTCGATCCCCAGTAGGGGTCATGCAGGAGGCAGCTTGTAAATGATTCTCTCTCATCATTGATGTTTCTATCTCTCTCTCCCTCTCCTTTCCTCTCAATAAAAATATTTTTTAAAAAGAATGGAGAGCAGACAACTGCCACATACATTTTGTGTATTTCACGTCTCAGAAAGAGTTCATGCATAAACATCTACCCCATACAACATACGAATCAGAAATTTAGATACACAAGCAATCATAAAATAAAAATACTTCCTGAGAGTTAAACTTTTTAGTCACTCACATGCTAACCTCAACAATTTTTAACCCTACTGGTGTCCACAACCAACATCTACCGATAGATGGGAAGGCCAGCCCCACGCCATGCACGCAGCCGCAGACTCGCATCGTTTCCCCTCCGTAGCTGCTGGTAACAGCGATGTCTCAGGGAGACCAGAGCAGCTGTCGCTCATGTAAATGAGGGACACCCCAAGCCAAACACTGCTGAGCTGAGACCAGTGACACTTCCAGAACGGAACTTTTAAGGGGGGACAAAATGAAGAGACAAGGCTGGATGGGTCTAAAAACGGAAAATTCAGAGAGCAGCACGGCAGAGTGTTCAGAAAGGGAAATCCAGAGGTCCGAGAGGAAACTCCCTACGCCATGTCTCACATGTAGCTCATGTAGGTTGCGACTGACCCGCATGTGAAGAAGAATGCCAACTGTCTTCCAGGTCAGCCTCCCCAGGGAAGCCCAATGTATCTCTGCCAGCCACGCTCCCGCCCCCCTCGGACAACGCAGCCAGAAATAAAGAGAAAAACGTTCACTACCCCCGACCCAGGCAGCCCTTCCTGAGGCGCTAGGCCTTCCTTACATAACGCAATCTTTAGAATCCATCACACTCAGATGCTGAAAGTTACATTATCTAACGAAATATCCATTTAGACACCCACTGAGTCATCAGAGCCTTAAACGTATGGAACTGTTGAAAAGAAAGCAAAAACACGACTTAGCAACACGGAGGCGTGCTTACCTGACCAGAGAAGCTGGAACCATGGGGCTCTTATTGCTACAGCCCTTAAGGCTGCCACAGAGAGTAACAAAATTCAGTGTGTTGACAAATAATACCTGAGTCGCCTACAAAGAGTTAAGAAAAGACAATAAAACCATTAAAATTATCTTACTTGAACCATTACTGATGATTCTGAGGACCTAGAGATCTATTATTACATCAGTCAGCTATCTAGGTGTCTTTCCCAACGGCAAGCAGTGCTGACCACCCATGTCTCTCTTCTCTTTTATCCTACATTTTAAGAACATCAGTTACAACATTGCCTTTCTTTCTTCCTTTTCCCTCAACCTCTTTTTGCTTTTGAAGACCAAGTATGGAAAACTATGGCAGGTCATTTAATTTTTTTACTGATTTTAGGGAGAGAGAGAAACATTGATGTGAGCGAGGAATCTTGACTGGTTGCCTTCTGTACCCGCCCTGACCAGGGACCGAACCAGACGGCTGGGCACGTGCCCTGACCGGGAGTTGGACTGGCCACCTTTCGGAGTGCAGGACAGCACTCAGCCATCTGAGCCACACCAGCCAGGGCCTGGTAGCCAATTTAAACAACTTCACCAACCCACAAGGTTGAGTGGGATCAGAAAACACCGATTTAAAGAATTACCTCCGGGGCGGGAATCATATAAAAACTAGACTGAACTCTGTCCCATCGACCACTTCAGACAGGTCGCATTACTGACCTTCGGGTCTCTCTGGTTCAGGGTCACTGCCAGGGTCAGGCCGTCTCTTGAAAAGGCAGAGATCAGAGCTCCTCTCGACTTGACTGACTCACAGGCAGGACTCAGACTACCCAGAAGGCAGTCCTGCTGTGCCCAATGGACACGGTATGGCCACGTTCTAAGAAAGTAAGGAAAGAATTGAAAACAGGAAGTATCACATCTTCTAAATTAATACGTAGTTCCTTACAAAGAGCTAAAGGGTCCAGCTAAATTCCTCCAGGTGCTAGACATTAGGGGCCGCTTAGCAGCCATCCCAGTGACAGAAGAGCCGGCGCTTCTGTCAGACAAGCTCCCTCGCGGAGTTTGTCTGTCAGGAACAGCAAGCTTGGGAGCCAACTCCAAACACGTCTGCTTCCACTGATGGCTTAGCCACCCCCATTCTATAGTACTGCTAACAGTTCTAAAGGGACTGATAGAGAAGAGTAGGTTTTCTGGGTAGTGTTCTATGCTTGATATGAGGACTGTTACACGCATGTACATTCATTAGATTTGTTTGTTTTACTTTATATAAGTTATAGCTTAGTAAGTTATTGTTAGCATAAAAAATAAAGAAAATTAACAGGAAGAAAAATACACCCTCCCTCAAATCACACTATTTTAATAAATCTTATTTAGCCAGGATGTGTTTTTAATGCATTCTATTTTATAGGCTTTTTAGAATAATTTCATGTTTAAGTAAAAAAAAATTCTCCTGCCGAGGCCGGTTTGGCTCAGTGGATAGAGCGTCGGCCTGGGGACTGAAGGGTCCCAGGTTCGATTCCAGTCAAGGGCATGTACTGTGGTTTCGGGCACATCCCCAGTAGGGGGTGTACAAGAGGCGGCTGATCGATGTTTCTCTCTCATCTATGTTTCTAACTCTCTATCCCTCTCCCTTCCTCTCTGTAAAAAATCAATAAAATAAAAAAATAAAAAGTGAGATAATTAAAAAAAAAAAATTCTCCAGCATGTAAAAAGTACAATAAATTCAAGAAAGTGCCTTTTCACTTTTACTGTAACAATTCCTTTCCAAAATAGTTCTTTATTGTCTTAAAACAAGTAAAGCCACTTGTTTCCTGCCTTATCTTTTACGTGTTTTCACTTCTAAGAAGAGAAACAAAACAGAAGCACAATAACCGATTAAACGTTTTTAAATGGAAACTAAAGCAATGCTTATGGAAGGAAGGATCTGTAAAGTCTCAGAGGTCACCGTTCATTTACTGATCTGATTGAGTATTTATAAGCCAAAGGTACCGTGTCTTAAAAGGGAGGGAAAAGAAGAAAGAAGGGAACATTTAACTCACCTCACAGGCGGGAAGACATTTTCACGCCACCGAATCGCTAGAAATGTCAACCTCAGACACTCCCCCGAATAGAAGGCAAAGGCACACAAGCAGCAGTCTCCCAGCAACTGTAGATAAATGCACAGACTTCAGTACATGATCCATGACAACAGGTCACGGTGCAGATGAAATAGATCGAGATCTTGTTTCTATTTATTCTAGACATTAAGTCCAAGACTAAGTCATTTCTGAGCCACAGGTATATCCCAAATGGGAAATCAATATGCAGTTTATGCTCTTAAGTAAACACTGCTATTTAGTAGGGCTATTACTAAAGTGATACTTACATACTAATTTTCCCTTCTATAGTTCTGTATTATTTAAATTAGGGCACTGGAAGTGGGTGAGGTAGAGGAAAACAATAAAACTTCAAAATGCAACTTATAACAGCAGTGGACTGGTAATAAAAGATAGGTCCATGCTGCTTTTTAAAATGTTTCTTAGTTCGTAAGGGTATTATTTCCTGGGAATTAAACAGCTTATTGAATATCACCAATTCTAGCTTTTTAAATTACAAAACTAGCTATATTTTAAAACTAGGGAAAAGTAAGACTAGGGAAAGAGAAAGGAAGCTGTAATTTCAAAACATTTATATAAACACTTCTAAGAACGTGACCCAGAAATAATGAAGATATATTTTCCACAATAATTTCACCATCAGCGGGACAACGACAACTAGCGATCTACAGCAATGCCACTGCTCACTCTGCCCATCAGCTCCAGTGTCTGTCAGAGGCGAGAGCTCACCCCCTGGGACCCGTCCGGTCTGGATTTTACCTCATTGTTTTTGTTTTGTTTTGTTTTGTTTTGTTTTGTTTTTTTTTACCTCATTGCTTATGAAGACAGCGTGCACCACAGCCTCTTTATCTTCTGCGGAAGGCAGACGCACTGCTTCCTCAGGTGTGATCTGGGACCACTGGCCCATCAATGATGGGCTTTTAGAAGACAAGATATTCCTGAATTCCAAATATTCCCAAAGAAGTATGCATCCAGAAGGAGTTATAATCAGAACTCTTTGTCCATCTCCAGATACATACAAATAGAGTCTCAACGAGCTTGCTAAAAGAAAAGTTAAAAAACTTATTAAACCTTGAAGTCTGAATTCCCTCCAGAGGCTAAATAGTTTATTCTGACAAAGAACCAGATAATGTGACCATTATGGATAGAAAGCTAAGGCAGCAGTATGAATTAAGAGTACAAATAACAGTAACAACATATCACATATTTACGTGATATTAGGAACCCTTTGTTATCAGATATGTTAGGCATACCAGACTACATTCATCCAAGATGAATCTGAGCATCACAAATAAATGCCACACACACACAAAAAATGCAAAGAGATATACATTGTACACACACACACTGAGTCGCCAGATTATTATGATACACACACACACACACACACACACACACACACACACGCTGAGTAGCCAGATTATTATGATCTCTAAACACATAATAATCTGGCCACTCAGAGTAAATCCTATATAATAAAAGGCTAATATGCAAATTGTCCTCTCGACCAGGAGTTCAAACAGCAGGCAGGCCAGCCAACCGCCCATTTCCCCTCCCCCTAGCCAGGCTGGCCGGATCCCACCCATACACACATGCACCAGGCCGCTAATATATATATACTAAGTGGCCAGATTATTATGTGTTCAGAGATCATAATAATCTGACCACTCCGTGTATACACACAGAGATTTTACAATAGCAGTAGGCAAATGTTTCATCCTCCCTTCCTGTTTATCAAGTTAAACCAATTTAAACCAATTCTCACCTACTGCAGCCTTAATCATTTCCTTAGGCTCTCCAGTTGCTTGGATCGTCTTCAAACAATCTTGATCTTTGTTCCAAAGGAAAAGCTCCCCAGTAGTAAGGAGCCCCGCCAGCCAGGCATCTGTCTCCAAAAAGGAAACGCAATACTTATAGAGGTGCCCTGAGATTGCCCCAGTTAGACCTTTCACCCAGCTCCGCCCTTTGCGAACACCGACCCACTTAACCGTTACTGGACGTGGTGAGCACAGCGAGGTGCCTCAGGACAGGCTGCAGGCGAGGGATCTTCTTCTTCGTCTTGCCCGACAGCAAATTGATCTCACTGATGAGGTTCTCGTCCAAAAGGAAAACAGCTTCCTTTTCCTGAGAAGAAACATGAGAGACTGAGGAGGTGGCAGAAGTTCATTCAAACTCTTACCCAAATTATGCCAAGAACACCAAGTAACACTTAAGGAAGATCACATACCTTTGTACCACGAATCACAAAATGAACCATAAGGCTGACGAGGCAGACCGAAAGTTGTTTCACTCTCTCTTAAAACTCATTAAAATGACTAGGTAAAATGACCTAACTAATGCAACTTAGATTACTTTGCAGTTAAAAATTTTAAGAGTGTCTTCCGGTTCTGCTAGCCAAAACTGGGTCATCAATGTAACCCCAGCATGGACAAGTTTTCAAATAACTTACTTAGATTAAGAGAGATGTGGCTTCTGCAACCCTGGCTGGTCCTTTTTTATTGCCAGGAGCAGTCTGCTGGTTGGAGTTAACGTTGCCTTCCTGCATTATTACTCCAGGGCAGTGGCTTTCAAAGCACCACCTACCCAGCGGCACCAGCAACCGGAGACCCTGCAAGGAATGCATGTTCTTCTCCCCCAGGCCACTGGGCCAGCACCTCCGGGATGGGGCAGCCCTTGTTTTAACAAGCCCTTCGGATATGCGAGCCCCCGTGACGGTCGAGAGAAGGTAAGTTAGTGGTGTAATTTCTCAGAGGAAATGACACACCAACTTTCCTTTTTTATATATAATTTTTAAAAATTGATTTTAGAGAGGAAGGGAGATAGAAACACCAATGATGAGAATCACTAATCAGCTGTCTCCTGCACATCCCACATGGGGATTGAGCTGGCAACCCAGGCACATGCCTGACCAGGAATCAAACTGTGACCTCCTAGTGTACAGGTCTACGCTCAACCCACGCGCAAGCCACACAGACTGGGCCCACCAAATTCCTTAATTTTAATAACTGCGATAAATCTAGGTTTGCCCACTTTCCCTGCGGTGAGGCCTCCATGCCATGTATTGTGACAGAGTCCGGGACTGTTAGTGCACCGTGACCCCTCTTCACCCAGGTCTGAGGGCACCTCGTTGCACACACATAACAACCACAATGGGAGGAAACACTCCATGGATTGTTCCAGTAGGAAAAGGTTCAGAAGATAAAAAATTCCTTTTTGCTATATGCCATCGCCACCTTCTTAAACATAATATAAAAAAGTTCTTCAGCCCTAACCAGTTTGGCTAAATGGATAGAGCGTCGGCCTGTGGACTGAAGGGTCCCAAGTTCGATTCCAGGCAAGGGCATATACCTTGGTTGTGGGCACATCCCAAGTAGGGAATGTGCAGGAGGCAGCTGAATCGATGTTTCTCTCTTGTGGATGTTTCTAACTTTCTATCCCTCTCCCTTCCTCTCTGTAAAAAATCAATAAAATATATTTTTAAAAAATAAAATAAAATAAAATAAAATGTTTTTCAAAATACAAAATATTTCTTCTTAATAGACCATTTAACTTTCTGGAAAAGCTAACTTGCTCACTATACTAAAGACAAAACACAAACACAAACACAAAACCCTGTCGTGTGGGCGGGTGATCCTTTAAGATGGATTTTATTTTTTAAATGTCACAGACCATTCTTCACCCTCAGAGGCAAAGCACACGTTCCACACGTATGACGACTGGGCCGTACAACAAAGAAAGACCCACCTGGCCCAGCCAGGAGACGCGGGGCCAGGGTCTCTTCTGCCTGATGGTGGTTGACGACAAAACTTCCAGCCTGACCTCCATGCTCATCGCGGCTCCGATGGCCAATTAAGCACACACAGTCACAGGATGCTGTGAAAAGCAAAAACAGTGGTCATAATGAATAGTCCATGTTTACTGAGGATCTTAATGTAGAATTCTCATCAAGATCTGGAGTTTCACTCTTTCATCAGTTCAGTTCTCTTCTTAAGATATTGACAATGCATTCAGCATCTCGTCTTATATCTCAAACAGTCAGGCAAACTGTACCTATTTGCTTTTATTTGACAAGTTATTTCTCCGACAGTGAAGGTAAACAAGACCTCAGAAAGATCTGGAAAAACACAGTTTCCACGTGATTTGCCTTTCTCTGCGTGGCAGGCTGTGTTTTCCAAAGATGACCACGGCAGCACCGCCTGCTCCCACTGTGACCTTGACCGTCTCTCAGAGACCCCCTCTCTGGTCCATGCCTTACCCCTTAAAGCTGGACGGGATCTGGTCTCTTTTAACCAAGAATAAAACAGGAGTGGAGCTTTGCATTTCCCACGGGCAGATCACAAATGGCAACACAGCGTCTACCTCACTCCCAGGGAGAGGGAGGGAAACAGGGACAAGAGAGCCAGTATCAATGGGCTGCCTCCTGACCGCCCCCTACTGGGGGTCCTGGGCAAGTTCCCTGGCCAGAACAGACCCAGCCATCTTTTGGTGCACCAGTGGATGCCCACCAACTGAGCCACACTGGCCAGATGTTTGTTTTTTAAAGGGGCCTTACCTCCCCTAGATATGGGATACAGTATATACTTAAGTATTTACTTTTCTTAAAATGTTTTTATTGATTTTAGAGAGAGGGAGGAAGGGAGGAGAGATAGAAACATCAATGAGAGAGAAACAGAGACCGGTTGCCTCCTGCACCCCCCATCCTGGGTAACAAGCCCGCAACTGGGGACTCTCGGTGCATGGGCCGAGGCTCGACCATTGAGCCACACCAGCCCGGCAGGGAGTTGCTTTAAAATACTCCAGCTTTTACTCAGAGGTAAGTTACACAACCCAAATGCAAAGGATGAAAAGATGGCTCAGAGGTGAGGGTGGAGGCCTGCGGGGTGTGACCAGGCTTTCACCGCGGGTTTATTATGCCCGAAAGCCGTGTGCTCGAACCGGCGCTCAGACAGCCACGGCCTGACCATCACACACGGGCCAGACACGTAAGACTGGTTCAGGGAAGGGGCACATTAACCCATCACCTCACTGGCACGTCAGGAAGGGGACACATGGAGCCCCCAAGCATGGCTTCCTGTGAAACACACGGCCGGCCGGCCGTTTACAGACTCCTCCAAGCCCCCGTGTCCCCGCCACACAGCCTCCTGCGTCCGCCCCTCAACGTTCACCTAACTCATCACCAACCCACGGAGGTCAGCCACCGGGCCAGCCAGCCACCGGGCCAGCCAGCCACCGGGCCAGCCAGCCACCGGGGCCAACCAGCCACCGGGGCCAGCCAGCCACCGGGGCCAGCCACCGGGCCAGCCAGCCACCGGGGCCAGCCACCGGGCCAGCCAGCCACCGGGGCCAGCCAGCCACCGGGGCCAACCAGCCACCGGGGCCAGCCAGCCACCGGGGCCAGCCACCGGGGCCAGCCACCGGGCCAGCCACCAGGGCCAGCCAGCCACCCGGCCAGCCACCGGGGCCAGCCACCGAGGTCAACCAGCCACCGGGGTCAGCCAGCGGGGTCAACCAGCCACCGGGGCCAGCCACCGGGGTCAGCCAGCCACCCGGCCAGCCACCGGGGCCAGCCACCGAGGTCAACCAGCCACCGGGGTCAGCCAGCGGGGTCAACCAGCCACCGGGGCCAGCCACCGGGGTCAACCAGCCACCGGGGCCAGCCACCCACCGGGCCAGCCACCCACCGGGGCCAGCCACCGGGCCAGCCAGCCACCGGGCCAGCCAGCCACCGGGCCAGCCACCGGGGCCCCCACGCCGGGGTCCCCCCAGCCCTCCAGGGGCTCCGGGGTGTCCTCCGGACCCCGGGGAGGCTGCAGCGGGGAGGACCCGCGCCCCGCGCCCCGCGCCCCGCGCCCCGCGCTGAGGATGGGCGGCGGGGCGGGGGGAAGGAAGGGGCGGAGGGGGAGCGGGGCCGGGATGGGGGCGGGGAGGGTAGGCCGGGGTGGGGTGGGGAAGGATGGGCGGCGGGGCGGGGGGAAGGACGCGGGGCGGAGGGGGAGCGGGGCGGGAGGCGCGGGCCCAGCGGGGGGAGGGGAGGGGAGGGGAGGGGAGGGGGCCGTGCGGGGGGGGGGGGGGGGAGTCGGCGGTTACCCCGAAGGCCGGTGCGGTGGGAGGGATGAAGGAGGGGCCGGGCGGGGGAGTCGGCGGTTACCCCGCAGGCCGGGCCCCGGCGGCGGGCGGGAGGCGCGGGCCCAGCGGCCCAGAGGCAGCCCGCGGCCCGGCGGCGCGGGGCGGGAGGCCGGGTGCTCCCCCCTTTCTTCTCCTCCTCCTCCTGCTCCTCCTCCTCCTCCTCCTGCTCCTCCTCCTCCTCCTCCTCCTGCTCTTCCTCCTCCTCTTCTTCCTCCTCCTCTCCACCCGGTCCGTCTCCGGGCTTCCCTCCGCCGGCGCCGCCGCCTTCTAGCCCCGCCCCTGCCCCCCTCTTCTCCCCCCTCCCCCTCCCCCCTCCCCTCTCCCTCCGCCCCTCCTCCCCCTCCCCCCTCCCCTCCCCCCGCCCTCCTCCCCTCCCCCCTCCCCTCTCCCTCCGCCCCTCCTCCCCCTCCCCTCTCCCTCCGCCCCTCCCGCCCCTCCCCCTCCCCCCTCCCCTCCCCCCGCCCTCCTCCCCCGCGCCTCCCGCTCTCCGCTCCGCCTCCAGGAAACCGTCCAACCGCCGCTCCCGGGCCGAGGGGCTGCCCTCCGCCTGCGCCGGGCCCGGCCCCCGCACCCCGGCCCCCCCGCACCCGGCCCTCCGTCCCCGGTGTCCCCCCGCCTCCGGCCCTCCGTCCCCGGTGTCCCCCACCTCCGTCCCCGGTGTCCCCCCCGCCTCCGGCCCTCCGTCCCCGGTGTCCCCCCGCCTCCGGCCCTCCGTCCCCGGTGTCCCCCCACCTCCGTCCCCGGTGTCCCCCCCCTCCGTCCCCGGTGTCCCCCCCGCCTCCGGCCCTCCGTCCCCGGTGTCCCCCCCGCCTCCGGCCCTCCGTCCCCGGTGTCCCCCCGCCTCCGGCCCTCCGTCCCCGGTGTCCCCCCACCTCCGTCCCCGGTGTCCCCCCCCTCCGTCCCCGGTGTCCCCCCCGCCTCCGGCCCTCCGTCCCCGGTGTCCCCCCCGCCTCCGGCCCTCCGTCCCCGGTGTCCCCCCGCCTCCGGCCCTCCGTCCCCGGTGTCCCCCCGCCTCCGGCCCCGGTGTCCCCCCCTCCGGCCCCGGTGTCCCCCCGCCTCCGGCCCCGGTGTCCCCCATCCGGCCCTCCGTCCCCGGTGTCCCCCCACACCGTCCCCGGTGTCCCCCCATCCGGCCCTCCATCCCCGGTTTCCCCCCGCCTCCGGCCCCGGTGTCCCCCCCTCCGGCCCCGGTGTCCCCCCCTCCGGCCCCGGTGTCCCCCCATCCGGCCCCGGTGTCCCCCCATCCGGCCCTCCATCCCCGGTGTCCCCCCCTCCGGCCCCGGTGTCCCCCCATCCGGCCCTCCATCCCCGGTTTCCCCCCGCCTCCGGCCCCGGTGTCCCCCCATCCGGCCCTCCATCCCCGGTTTCCCCCCGCCTCCGGCCCCGGTGTCCCCCCGCCTCCGGCTCTCCATCCCCGGTGTCCCCCCATCTCCATCCCCGGTGTCCCCCCCATCTCCGGCCCCGGTGTCCCCCCATCTCCGTTCCCGGTGTCCCCCCATCTCCGGCCCGGTGTCCCCCCCCCTCCGGCCCCGGTGTCCCCCCGCCTCTGGCTCTCCATTCCCGGTGTCCCCCCGCCTCCGGCTCCCTGTTCCCGGTGTCCCCCCCTCCGTCCCCGGTGTCCCCCCCCCTCCGTCCCCGGTGTCCCCCCATCTCCGGCCCCGGTGTCCCCCCGCCTCCGGCTCCCTGTCCCCGGTGTCCCCCCCATCCGGCCCCGGTGTCCCCCCGCCTCCGTCCCCGGTGTCCCCCCGCCTCCGGCCCTCCATCCCCGGTGTCCCCCCCATCTCCGGCCCCGGTGTCCCCCCGCCTCCGGCCCTCCATCCCCGGTGTCCCCCCCATCTCCGGCCCCCCGTCCCCGGTGTCCCCCCCTCCGTCCCCGGTGTCCCCCCATCTCCGGCCCCTGTGTCCCCCCATCTCCGGCCCCGGTGTCCCCCCATCTCCGTTTCCGGTGTCCCCCCATCTCCGTCCCCGGTGTCCCCCCATCTCCGTTCCCGGTGTCCCCCCATCTCCGGCCCCGGTGTCCCCCCATCTCCGGCCCCGGTGTCCCCCCTCCGGCCCTCTGGGGGACGGTGACGGGGCGCTGGGTGCCATGGACCTGGAGGAGGCGGTGCAATTCCAGCGTCCGCTGCTCCACATCCACTTCTCCCCAGGACTTCCGGGAGGACAGTGCTCACATGAGGGTGTGCCGTGGGAGCTGGGGAGCAGGAGGGAGCCAGTGCTGGCCCGGGTACCCAGGAGGCTTCCACACAGCACGGGGCGGGGGAGGGCCCAGCGGCAGGCAGCCTGCGCGTCCTCGTCTGAAAGGCTGAGCTGGAGCCCGGCCTCTGGGGGTGCGGCGAGCTGCATGGTGCAGAGCCAAGGCCAGGACGGCCCAGTGCCCGCCGCAGCCTCCCCTCGCCTCCCTGGACGCTCACCTCTCCCCTCCCCCAGGCTGTTTTTTGTGGGTCATTTGGCGGCTGCCGCTGGTGAGTTTCAGGTCTCGGCGGCGGGATCCCGGCACCCCGCCATTCTTGGGAGTGGAGCTGAGTGACCCACCACCTTCTCACCTCGGCCGGGTAGCATCCAGAGGGCGTACGACTCTGGCCATCGGGGTATCTCACAGCGTCTGCGCTCAGAGCAGGAAGGAGGAAACCAGGGAACACTCAGAGGGCCAGTCTGGCCCAGATGCACTGGCCCCGGCCCAGCCACCGCTGCTCGCTGACCCCCAACTGGTCTAGATGCCTCAGCGCGTGGGGAGTCGGGGACGGGGTGGAGGGATGGGAAGACGCCCCGGGCCTGGGGGAGACAGAGGCGTGCCCGGCGCAGAGAGCAGGTGGCACCCAGGCTGGGACGGCTGCCGCTGGGCCGTGGCGGTCAGTGGAGGTCTGGGCTTGGGCTCTGACATCCCCGGGAAGGACGGAGAGGCCCCAGAGCCTGGGTTTTCAATTCCATGATTTCAGATTCGCTGTCCATCCGCACCAGGTCCTGGGCATGGCGGCTGGAGATCGCCGGCCTCTGCTTGTAGACCAGGAGCAGGGTGAGGGGAAGGCAGAGGGTGCCCACCGTGCAGGCGCCCATAGCCAGGGCGGCAGCCATGCTGTTGTCACTCTCCCTGGGGGCGTGTGGGTATGCGATGCGCTTGCGGGGGCTTCAGGGCCTCTCTGCACTTGCAGCTCCATGGCCCCACGGCCTGGCCTCCACCACGAGGCAGCAGCAGAGGGTCACACAGAGCATGGTGAGAGAGGAGTGGCCCTGGTGCTCGGAGACCGATCCCAGCCCATGTTGCCAGGCCAGGTCCTGGCTGGAGTTGGCGGCGTGGCGGGCACGGTGGTACAGGTGCAGGTCCTGGAACGTGAGGTTGCGGCTGGCCCGGTGTTCGGAGCAGGCCTCCACCTCGCCCCGGGAGCTGCGGTACCACGTCTTGTAGAAGGTCGAGTCGTACCCTTTGGTCACGAGGCCCACGCCCGAGATTCTGCAGCTGAGGGTGATGTTTACACGGGACACGTGTAAAAGGAATACGGGGTGGCGACCTTGAGGGCTGACCCCAGACACTGGGGGGCTGTTGGGAGGGCTGCTCAGGAGATGTCGGCACCTCTGAAGGGGTGACAGGCAACAGGCAGAGTCCGAATACCATTTCTTAAGAGAACGTGAGCCCAGATGGTTGATCATCGACCTATGAACCAAGAGGTCAAGGCTTGATTCCCAGTCAGGGCACTTGCCCAGGTTGCAGGCTAAATCAATAATTCTCTCCCAACATTGACCTTTTTATCTCTTTCTCTGAAATCAATAAAAATTAAAAAAGAGAGAGAATGTGAGAAGGATGGAAGAGAACCCAAGTAAGCCCAAATAAAAGTAATCCTGAGGATTCCCCATCAAATTTGGTGTCTTGTTGTTACAATGCCAGACCTGTAATAACCGAGGTCCTTTTGGCAGCAGATAATAAATCCCACGTGATAGCTTGAGCAAGAGGAAATGTGCTGTAGAGCAAGCATGTCAAACTCATAGTCCGAGGGCTGCATGGGGCCCACAATGAATATTTTTGCGACCCAGCCAATATAACAGTATGTATGAAATGTTTTGATACGAATTTCATAGCTTGAGTTTTACAATATCCTGTTTTACATAATTATTAATAACGAACTACAACGCTCGCTAATGACTGGTTACTATAACCATGTTGCCTTTATTTCCCTTACACGCAGGTGCACCATTTCTCTCCAATAATGCTAGCAGCGAATATTTTAGCAGCCGATGGGCACGTCATTAGTCTTGGACTGACTGGTTTGGTGTGTGCAACAGGAAATATTTTGCTTTTGGAGTACAAGAAAGATAGGTTTGTTTTCGTTACACTTATTAATTTGTGCAGTTCTTCAATGTCTGGTGAGTTAATGTTCAAGGAAAACATATTAATTTTTATTAAAATGTTCTATTTTATGTTAACAATGACTCATTTACTTCAGCCCTTTGTGTTCAGCATATCTGTATCGAAATAAACGTACATGTCTATGAAAATTGAAGCTTTTTTTTTTGTGGCCACACACACTTACACCTTGTGGGTTTGGCCCATGGTAGCCTTTAGTCTGACACGCTTGCTTTGGAGACTGGTGAACAACGCAGATGCTAAGGAACGAGAAATGAGTATTTAACTAGCAATGAATAAGGGATGGTTTCAACCACCAGCCTTAGGGCAGGATGGGAACCAGGAAAGGCAGGCTTCTTCCTAGAGCAGCGCTGTCCATAGAAACGGACAAGAAGGTTCTCTGTCTGCTTGTCCAGGATACAGCCATAGCTGCGAGTGGTATCGAGCGCCTGAAATGCAGCTAGTACAACTGAGGCACTGAATTTTTTGTTTTATTGTCATGAGATCCAAGTAGCCACGTGGGCCCTAACCGGTTTGGCTCAGTGGACGGAGCATCAGCCTGCGGACTGAAAGGTCCCGGGTTTGATTCCGGGCAAAGGCATGTACCTTGGTTGCGGGCACATCTCCAGTAGGAGGTGTGTGGAGGCAGCTGATCAATGTTTCTCTCTCATCATTGATGCTTCTAACTCTCTATCCCTCTCCCTTCCTCTCTGTAAAAAATCAGTAAAATATATATATTTAAAAACAAACAAAAGAAAAAAT